AGAGTCGCCCCAAGATTTTCGACCTCGCTATCAAGAAGCCTGACGTTCTGTACGAGGATGTTGTTGAGATAGACGAGAGGGTTACACTTGAAGACTATGCTGAGGACCCTGAGCGGACGATCACTAAAGCTGATGCCAAGGCCGGGACGGCGGAAGCGTCGAAAGCAGACTTGGTGTTAGGACTCTCAGGGGAGACAGTGCGTATTTTGGAACGGCCAGCGGAAAGCAAGATCAAGGATCGATTAAAGAATATATTCGACAAAGGCATCAAGAGTATAGCTGTATGTCTAATGCACGGCTACACATTTCCGGACCATGAAGCCTTAGTGGGCAAAATTGCTAGGGAAATTGGCTTCAACCATATCTCGCTCAGCCACGAACTCATGCCTATGATTAAGCTGGTCCCACGAGCGACAAGTGTCTGTGCTGATGCGTACCTCACGCCGGCAATTAAAAAGTACATCACCGGTTTCCAGAAGGGATTCGCTGGTGGCTTAGGAACACGAAGCGTCCTTCAGGAGAACGGCAGCAAAGGTGCAAGATGCGAGTTTATGCAGAGCGACGGTGGATTGGTTGACGTGGAGAAGTTTACCGGGTTAAAAGCCATCCTGTCTGGTCCTGCAGGAGGTGTGGTAGGGTACGCTATCACAAGTTACGATGAAGAGACCAAGATTCCGGTAATCGGATTTGACATGGGTGGTACAAGTACCGACGTCTCACGTTATGGAGAAGGTCGATATGAGCATGTCTTTGAGACGACGACGGCAGGCGTTACAATTCAATCACCCCAGCTCGACATCAACACCGTCGCTGCCGGAGGTGGAAGTAGACTCTTCTTCAAGAACGGTCTCTTTGTCGTTGGACCCGAGTCAGTAGGAGCCCATCCCGGTCCTGCTTGCTACCGAAAAGGTGGCCCCGCTGCAGTAACAGACGCAAACTTGTTCCTAGGTCGTCTGTTACCCGAGTTCTTCCCTAAGATCTTCGGCAAAAACGAAGACGAGGGCTTGGACTTCGAGGCGAGCAAGAAAGTGATCCAAGAGCTCACTGATCAGATCAATAAGGAAACTGGCAAGAATATGAGCTTAGATGAAGTAGCATACGGTTTCTTAACGATAGCAAATGAGGCTATGACAAGGCCTATCAGGTCTATTACCGAAGCGAAGGGCCATGACTCTTCGAAGCACCGGTTGGCAACGTTTGGTGGCGCCGGTGGTCAGCACGCTGTTGCTATCGCAGAGGCTCTAGGTATCAAGCAGATATTAGTCCACAGATACTCGTCAGTTTTATCGGCATACGGAATGGCCTTGGCGGATGTCGTCGACGAGAGGCAAGAGCCAGACTCCACAGTATGGCAAGATAAGGGAGATGTGGTCAATGAGCTGAAAATCAAGATGGAAAAACTAAAAGAAAAATCACGGAAGGCCCTACAAGACCAAGGTTTCGAAGACAGCGATATTGTCTTTGAAGAATATCTCAATATGAAATATCGTGGAACCGAATCAGCTCTCATGATTGTCAAGCCTACTGAGGAGAAAGCAAAAGCGTCTTACAACGGCGAGGACTGGGAGTTCGGCAAGGCCTTCGTAGATCATCATCGTTACGAATTTGGATTTACTCTGGACGACAGAGATATCATCGTAGATGATGTGCGAGTTCGCGGTATTGGAAAGAGCTTCACATATCGGGACAAGACTGTAGATCAACAGTTAAGAGAGGTCAAGCGGCAGTCTATTGGCGAACAGAAAGCGCATGGCAAGTCTCAAGTTTACTTTGAAGGTGGTCGTTTAGAGACGCCAATCTATAAACTCGAAGACCTATCGGTTGGTGACGAAATCCACGGACCAGCCGTTCTCGCGGATGGTACACAAACCATCGTGATCACTCCAAAGGCGAAGGCGCTAATTCTCGAAACGCACGTCATCATTGACTTGGAGAAAAATAGCAAGGATGAGTGAGCTTGATCCTACCCCCTTTTACAAGTTCTCTTTTACAAGTTGGAAATCAAGACTTAGCTAACAAACGAATCAGATCGCATAAGAAGGATTCGTCTGAACGAAAGGCTGACCCTATTCTACTAAGTATCTTCGGTCATCGCTTTATGGCCATCGCAGAACAAATGGGCCATGCGCTCCAGAAGACCAGCGTGAGTACAAACGTTAAGGAACGCCTCGACTTCTCGTGTGCTATATTCGACGCCTCCGGAGGACTCGTAGCTAATGCGCCGCATTTACCTATCCACTTGGGATCTATGTCGACGTGTGTTAGGACACAAGCTAAGATCTGGGAGGGCAAGCTCAAAAAAGGAGATGTGATCATGTCGAATCACCCATCGTATGGTGGTACACATCTACCAGACATTACTCTTATCATGCCTGCCTTCAACGAGAAGGGAGATAAAATCCTATTTTATGCAGCATCAAGAGCTCACCATGCAGACATCGGTGGGATTACCGCGGGTAGCATGCCACCGCTGTCGCGTGAACTGTTTCAAGAAGGCGCATCGATTGAGAGCGAAAAAATCGTCAGCGAGGGCAAATTCAACGAAAATAGAATCATAGAGCTACTCTATAACGAACCAGCCAAGTACCCTGGCTGCAGTGGAACTCGATGTCTGGCAGATAACATTAACGATCTCAGGGCCCAGGTTTCGGCAAACCAAAAAGGCATATCCCTGATCGAAGGCCTCATTCAGGAGTACGGCGAAGACATTGTACAATTCTATATGATCAGCATCCAAAACAATGCAGAGCTCTGTGTTCGGCAGCTATTAAAACAGGTCTACAAGAAATTCGAAGGGAAAGACCTGTCTGCAGTTGACTATATGGACGATGGAACTCCGATTCGGCTACGCGTCACTATCGACCCGGAGAAGGGTGAGGCGGAGTTCGACTTCGAGGGTACGGGTCCTCAGGTCTACGGCAATGTCAATGCACCCGAAGCTATCACATACAGCGCTATCATCTATTGTCTGCGCTGTCTGATTTCAGAAGATATCCCTCTGAACCAGGGTTGTCTCAAACCTGTCAACGTCAAAATCCCCCCAAAGTCACTCCTATCGCCGTCAACGGGTGCCGCTGTGGTGGGTGGTAACGTACTGACCAGCCAGAGGGTCACAGATGTTATATTGAAGGCATTCGAAGCATGTGCCGCTAGCCAGGGTTGCTGCAACAATCTGACGTTTGGGTTTGGCGGTAACATCACGGGTGAGGAAGAAGTCAGGGGCTTCGGGTACTACGAGACGATTGCGGGCGGCAGCGGTGCGGGACCGGACTGGGAAGGCACCAGTGGCGTCCACGTACACATGACAAACACACGTATTACGGACTCTGAAGTATTCGAGCGACGGTACCCCGTCCTCCTGCACGAGTTCTCCATCCGCAAGGGGTCGGGTGGTAACGGGCAACATCGCGGCGGCGACGGAGTCGTCCGCGATATTGAATTCCGGATCCCCATTCAATGCTCGATCCTTAGCGAGCGACGAGTCTACCGGCCTTACGGTCTGGCCGGCGGCGAGGATGCCGAGTGCGGTCTCAACATCTGGGTACGTCGCGTGCAGAAAGCCGACTCGGAGAAGGATCTTGCCACACAAGATGTGCACGCACAGCAGGGCAGAGACGACGTTGAGTATGAGGTACGCTATATCAACCTGGGTGCTAAGAACAGCGCCCCTATGAAGCCTGGAGACCATATCATCATTAATACGCCCGGGGGAGGAGGTTGGGGCAAGGTCGGGGACCAGAGGGTCGAGAGACTACGGAGAGACCATACTGAGTCTTGGAGGAAGGGCAGCCACACCGCCAGGGAAGATGCCGCTTTGCAGGCATAGGGCTGTGGAAGCTTCGTATATAGCGAAGGTAGGCATAAAGTCTATGTTACTTCATCCCCCCCTTTTACGTACCTAAGGTATTAAGGGGGGTGTTTGTACTAGTGCCTTTATGATGTTTAAAGCTGTGCCGCTCGTGAATCCCAATTTCCCACTCGTTTACACGCGGCCTGTCGTCGCGAATGTGACATTACGCAGTCGTACAGTCGTGGGTATAAGCTGACCGACTTGGGGGTTACCAAATACCTGGGAGTTTCTGCCACTGATCCCCCACCGGCGAAGCTATCAAATTAGGAAGGTAAATAGACGGGAGCGCCTAGCGATTAACTAACGAATTGCGAGATATGCTTCTGTCTTTTTTTCTTTCTTTTTTTATGCGGCCCATTATCTCAGTCCAACGGTCTGGATTCTACGTATGTTGGTGGAAAAGTACCAGGCGCGAGGAGCGAGGGTCTTGGTAATCAATGGTTAAGCGATGCGTAGGAGGCGGATGTCTGGGTTAGATGTTAGTAGGATTTATTATTATTATTATTATTTAAGTGTTAGAATTTGGGAAAGGGGGAAGTGTACCTACTTAAGGTTAGATAGTTGGGGGCTTAATGGAAGCGTAGCAAGCGCTTGCGATGGTGATACACGCGAATTAGACCCCAATTCCGGAGTTCGTCAGTTATATATAGGTAGGTAATTTTATGACAGATTTGGTAGTTCTTCTTAAATTAGGAGCGTGTGCTCTAGGTATTTATTAATAAGATATAAATGTCCCTTTATAGGCAGTTTTCGAAATGAAGACTTGTTTGTTGGTGAATGATTTACTTGGCTTTATTTATATCAAAGTTAACATAATAAGAAGTCGTACCAACATTTGACTTGGGCGTAGATATATTTCACTACAGGTATTTACATAATTCTTAATAGACATTTGAATAATCACGAGCGTGGCCCTATAATGGCAATTGACCCCGGTACCAGGGTCTTTGGAGCCCAGTCCGGATCGAACCCGACGATCTCCGGTGGCGCTGGAGATGCCGGAGTAGAAAGACGGCCGAACTTACTTGGCCGATGCGGGACACGAGGTCTGACTTCTATCTAGGAACATGTTATCCTGCAGTGAGACTGCTGCCGTATGATGTTATTATTATTGAATTTAATTGGAGGGATACGATAGACAATGGCGTCAAGAAACTAAAACTTACCTAAGAGACAAAATAACAGGTAGTTAACTACGGGAAAAGTATAGAGTTAGACTTAGACTTCTGTAGGACAGGACGGACCGCTAAAATCCGAATTAGCGGGGTGAATGCAAGCCAGTCCAGTCTAGTCATTAGCGGGTCCCGTGAGGTAAGATAACCGTTCGACGGCGTTGTGACAAGTGCTTAGGTTAACACTTAACAAACACGGAGCTTCCTTAGCTCTCTCCATCTTTTCCAACTTGGGTAATATTCGTGAATGGGAACCACCGCATCTTAGCAAGTCTACATTAACTAGTTTACTTTATACTACCTTACTGTAGCTTATCATCAATAATTCCTATCGACGTCCTAATATATAAACTGAAGTCATCCATTCTCCTCATACTTTTATCCTTCCGTCAATTCTACCTTCAATCATAAGATTCCCCTTTCTTATTGGACGCCCGAACTTAAGGAAAAGGATATCGGACACTATGAATCCTCAGAATCTATACACCGACCAGGAGTGGGAGGAGGTCTCGCAAGATCTTCCGAAGGAGAGCGATCCCTTCATTCAGAAGTATCTTCAAGGCCGTGAGGCGCTCATAGCAGAAGAGAATAAGGAACGCAGCGGTTCGTATAAACTGCCCCTAATCGGCCCACCCCCCCTTTTTTCACTTCTTATCGCTAATAATAATCTTAGATGCGTCATTCAAGAAGAGCCTCTCTCCTATTGCAAAGCGCGCCTGTGATATAGTGGCGCGTATCCGGGATGAAGAGAAGAACACAGTGTGGACGCCGCAGCTAGAGGACTCGCTCGCTCAGGAAGCTGATATTGTCGTGCACCCGGGCATGATGTTCTCCCTGTCCAAGGAACGAATGGAAAGTACCAAATTATGGAATATAGTCCGACGCATGCCTAAGGGTGCTTTGCTACACGCCCACCTAGATGCCATGGTCGACTTCGAGTATCTATTTGAAGTACTCTTCGCAACTCCAGGCATACATTTGTCCGCCGACCAGCCGCTGACATCAGACAAAGAGAGGGAAGCTGCTAAATTAACATTCCGCTTTTTCAAACAACCACGCACCGAAAGTAACGTTTGGAACCCCGATTATGAAAGCGGCACTTTCGTCCTGCTTACTCAGGCTGCGGACGCGTTCCCCGAGGGCGGGAAAGCCGGTTTTCTAAAGTGGCTTTACTCACGGTGCACTATCTCGCGGACGGACGCCGTCTCCCAGCACCACGGTGTTGATCACATATGGCAAAAATTCTACAAGTGCTTCCGGGTGGTCGGGTCCATGATCCACTACGAGCCTATCTTCCGCAAGTTTCTCCAGCGGCTTATGAGTTTACTAAAAGCAGACGGGATCAACTGGTGCGAATTCCGCTTCTCGTGGGCACTGGACTATTATAAACAGGACAGCGAGAAGCCCGAGTCTGACTACAGCGCAATGATGACTGTCTTAGACGAGGAGGTGGCACGGTTCAAGGAATCTGAAGAGGGAGAGGGATTTTGGGGGCTTAGGGTTATATGGGCTGCTCTACGGTTTTTTCCAACTCGAAATATCGTGGAAAACATGGAACAGTGCATCGAGACTAAGATCACGCATCCTCACCTAATCGCCGGGTACGACTTGGTCGGTCAGGAAGATGGCGGTCGGCCCCTATGTGACCTACTTCCTGAGCTATTTTGGTTTCGCAAGCAATGTGCCCAGGAGGGTGTCAATATCCCCTTCTTCTTCCACGCCGGCGAGTGTCTCGGATCCGGTAGCGAGACAGATCACAATTTATTCGACGCTGTGCTCCTGGGAACGAGACGTATCGGCCACGGGTTTAGCTTGTACAAGCATCCCCTACTCGTCAATCTCGTCAAAGAGAAGAAGATCTTGGTGGAAAGCTGCCCTATATCGAACGAAGTCCTCCGCCTCTGCGGTTCCGTCATGAGTCATCCTCTTCCCGCTCTGCTCGCGCGGGGAGTAGCCTGCTCATTATGTAACGATGACCCGGCCATGCTCGGTCAAGACACGGCCGGGTCCACGCACGACTTCTGGCAGGCGCTGCAGGGTTGGGAGAATTTAGGGCTGGCAGGGCTGGGGAGTCTAGCCGAGAATAGTATACGGTGGGCAGCGTTCAAGGATCAGTCTGCCGAGGAGTGGAGCAGAGACATCAGGGAAGCAAGTACGGGAAGCGGGACTAAGGCACAGAGGTTGAAGGAATGGGAGATCGAGTGGGAGAAGTTCTGCGTGTGGGTCGTTGACGAATTCGGCCAAGATTAGAGGGAAAAGGGGGGGGGGGTGTAAGCGCGGGAGTGTGTTGGAGGTTGCCTAAGGCAAATGGCGGAGACGAGCAAAAAGCTACTGCGCCATTCGCGATGGGTCGAATCCCACATTCCCGACATGATTTCCCGGTGGTACAGCTTAGGCGGATGCCCCCGCGGTTCAACACGAAGAATCCTGAAGGGTAAAAAAATTTTCAGTTGGGGAAATTGAGGCTCTGCGACAACTGACAAACTAGAATTGGGGTTTGGGATCGGCACCACTGTATGATGGTACGCTCCCGTCGACCCGCAGCCTTAGGTAGTGCGACAGCGGCTTACCTGCAGATCTCGGTGACGTTGACGTACAGCGGCGTAGGGCACAAAAGAAAAAGAAGAAAAAAAAGCTTATGGTCGCACGCAGAAAAGGACAAGTTGTTGGCTTACTGGGGCCGTCGGGGAAGACGTTTGCTAATTTATTTAAGGCTGATTCTACGAAAAGGCGGGACGAGGGGATGAGGGGGGAGTTACGCAGTAGGGCTAAGGCTGCAGGGACGAAGATCATGGCTTAGTTCAACACGACTTGCCTTCCATGCCCTCTCACAAGATAATAGTAGTCACGTAGATGAGATGTGTAGGTACCTAATGTATGTATGTAGGTATGTATGTAGGTATGTATGTACGTGAGATTACATACATGCTAGAGTCGTATGACGTTCCTCATAAACAACACTTGCTCGCCCATCCCATTCGTGGGCGTCCGAGGAAGCTTAAGCAGACGTTGTGGAATGAAGCAAAAGAATGAGCAATCTTGACTTCTCTCGCCACTCGGAATCCGTGCATGCGGCACGGCGGGCCACTCGTCCGTCGTACAGCGTATTTGAATAAACAAAGGGACTTAAAGGTCAAAGCCCGATAAAAACAGGCGGCGTGGGGGGGAGGCGACGGACCCGATTGTCTGGTAACGATTCGACGCTCGTTCTACGGCCCCTATACAGGAGGGAGGGAGGGAAGGAGGGAGGGAGGGAGGGAGGGGCGGCAATGTATATGAATGGGGCGCAATACGCACATATAAGCACATGTATGCAACCACTTACGCCTACGGAACACCAACAAGGCGTAGCGCTAGTGCGACTTGCCGTACATTGTCTCACAAAGATCTCCTGGACGTAGGGGAATACGACGGCGGGAGTCTTCACGAAGTTGTTGCTGTTACTGTTGTTGTTGTTGTTGTTTTCTACGGGAGAAGAAGAATAAAAATAAGAATAAGACTAAGTGAGGGGTGTATATCTATATTATTGAAACGGCTATGCTGGACCCGCGGGCAAGCAGTTAATATAGATAGATAGGTAGAATCGTAGATAGATAGGTAGACAGACAGACAGACAGACAGGTAGAGCGCTAAATGCTGATGTGCATACAATTGAAATGCCGAGAGAAAGAAATTGAAGTTACAAAGGTATCAAGAACCAAAAATAGACGTGCTGTTGCTTCTCAACTCAGCCGTGATGCATACAAGATGGGTCTATTATAACAGACAGGCCACACATGGTGCTCGAAACGGGCCGCCCCAAGTATAAACGCGACCAACAGATCTCAAAGGGGCAGAATAAGTCGAGGTGCAGAAGAAAACGGCGGTGGGGGTAGTTAGCCTAGTTATATTATTGTTGTCGACAATGGTATTACTATGCCGGACCCCATGTGTCGTATAGCCACTGTCGAAAGCTTGTTGGCTGTATGTCTACCGAATCGTTCAAGTTCGTTTCTCCGAATGTGTATCGACCATCCGCAGTCTGTAGAAGATGCTGCATCGTGCACCATTTAACTTCGTCCCCGTTCTGCTCGTAGTAGCGAAGCCATTGCACGATTTCTTCGTATGGCCTCCTGATAACGTTGAAAGCGACTATAATAATGTGTTAGGGAACCCAACGCCAGAGGATAGGCGGCCGCTTTGTCACTTACCTCCTCGGACTTCGCTGCAAATCTCTTGGAGTCTTTGAGTTGACAAACGAGAACCACGCATTCTGAACTCTCGTGGCCAACTGTCGATTCCCAGCTCAACAGCAGCGGCAACGAATCGTGCTACATCAACTGCCGATGTCATTACGACATACACTGGGCGGCCTCGGGAATCCGTTTCCGGAATCTCAGCAGTTCCAAGGCCTACATCGATCATGTAGTCTCCCTGGTTTCGGATCCGACAGCTGACGCCCATGTTGTATGCTTGGAGGCCGCCAGGGGCAAAGCGTTCGTAGAAAACGCCGCACGAGAAAACGGTGTATTTCATCGAATAGTGTCTCGACTGGGACCAGTGTCGAAGTTGTTCCAAGGCCGTCGAAGAGCCGTTGTCAAAAGGGTCAGTTCCTACGGCTGGTCTATGGCTTACGGAGCCCTCGAACTCTGAGGGGACGAAGCAGCGTACGCCGGCTCGTCGAGCCGCATCGATAAGGTTAAGCTGCTCTGTACCGGAGATGGTGGATATCACAAGGTCAATGCCCTGAAGGGCGAACTGGAGATTTTCAAGGTCTGAATAGTCGACCGCGGTTACCTGGCAGTCGAAATTAGATTCTAATTCCGGGTGATCCTATTGATGAATTAGCTAGCCTTGATGATGTTATAGTCATTTTGGTTCGGTCACCTTCGTTGAGAGCACGAGTATGGCATAGGCAGTCCGAGACAGCTCCCGGATTAGAAGGGCTGCAAAGCCCCCAGCACCTGCGATCGCAATTCGCATCATAGCCGTTGATGTCTTTCTACCCATTGTCGAGACGGTTTGCAAGTCGATAGATAAATAAAGTGTCCGACTTCGAGTACAATGGACGTCTATAGTCACATTCTTCTACTTGGAGGTCGGTTTTTACCACTTTCCTGCCAGTATGGGTGTAGAAAATCTCGCACTGGCAAATTGATACAGGGGATATACTTTGATGTATTAGTAGCGAACCTGCTTTGATGAGTCAACCCCTGGGACTCGCGTTCTAAGTGGTGGACAGCGTAAAGGAACAATCCGGTGTCACTCGAGTTTCTGAAACTAGCAGGAGAAAGCCGAGTGGGCGAGCCAACTCTCAAGTGCCTACGGCTTTCCAAGATGGAGGACGCCGAAAAAATTCGGAGAGAGGGGTTCTTTAGGTAGAGTTAGGTAGGTGATGTCCACGAGATATGCGTCTAGGTCGACTCAACGAGTCCAAATGGTCCAAATGGTCCAAATGAGCACAACTGAGCCACGGGATGACCTTTGAACAAGTGGGCCTTGATACAAGTTTATAATATACTTGGATCCTAAGGGGATGCCGCGCGGAGATGGGCAATCTAACCCGGCTCCTTAGAGATTTCTTGAGTAGTACCAACAGAGTTGTGCCGGTTTTCATAGTAGCAACGAGCGTGTTCCCCGGCAAGGATTTGTAAACTCCTCCTGCAAAGACCCTTTAAAGGTAAAGCCGCGTCCACATCTATGTCTAGTGATACCTCGTATAATGCATATGGTCCATCGAGATTGAGGCATTAGTTAGTGCTGCCTGGCAGAGTGAAGATGTCGACCCGCATGGTGAGTAAGTAGGTATGTATCAGTTTCGGCTCGAGAAGTCATTTCGGTAATGACCCAAGGACGTCAAAGTACCTACGACCTATAGTAAGGTTCTGCATAATGCTCCACTATCTGGGCTGCAGTTTACAGTCCTGGAAACGGCCATGTGTAAGGGTGTGAGCAGAAGACGCCTTCGGTGAGCCTTAGGATGTGTTCCACCAATAACTAAACGGTATTGGGAAGCTCGTAATAATAGCTAAGGAGGTGTGGCAAGCGAATTAGAATCGAATAAGGAGATATGCCTGGATCTCCGATAGAAAGTACAGTTCTTCACCACCATGTCAGGTGGGAAGCGCTGTAGACCCTTGACATACTAAGGAGTAAGGCGGTCTCCTATAATATACAACCCCAGTAGTAAGACAAACAAATAGGAAAAGAAAACATCATCTAGCCAGTGTCACACGTGCGTATAGGAGCTCGCTCACTAATACAGGACTTATCAAAGCCAAGTGATTACATGTACTAGAAGGCAACAACATCCATCACCTAGGACAGTCTAAGTCCTGGTGCTAGAACTCGAACTCTCACCGAAGGGTCTAAAGCAGCGAACTGTGAAATCCCAGAACATATAATAGAATACTGCCATGACGATACTTAGTTAACGAAAGACAAGATGGGCACACACCACGAGTCAGCCCATATCAGAAAGAGTAGGGGCGGGCCGTCGTTGGTGAAGGGAGTTTGGACAGTCCGCGGGCCACGCGCCGAGTTGTCAGATAGAGTAAGGGCTCTAAAAATAATAGAAGGGAAAAAAACCAAGTTGGGGGCTACCCATTGGAACATGTTCAAGCTTGTCGTGCATGAAGAATAGGCTTCTTTCTCGGCCGTGGTAAGCCCTTAAGACTCTGGAGCCTGCTATGCTCTGCGGCTCTATCCTGAATTGAGGTTGATTCAGGGTAAGTTGGGGTCCGGAACGAGCTCAAAAGGAGTATTGCCGCACGGATCAGGTTTATAGGGCAGCGCGGCTCCACACAACAGCGTCAGTAGCGGATTTTAGTACATAGGCTTAGGTACCTCATACCTAAGGCAGGTAGGACAGGCAGGACAGGCAGGACATATGTATAGCGGGTTTGGGGTGCTGTGCTCCACCGCAGAGAACGTTATTCCCCAGGCCAGGGGGATTAATACTTCGAAAAGTGCCTAAGGTACATACGTACATACGTACAACTCTGCTTGGCCGACTCTTCCTAAAGAAAATATTGTTGCGTCGTTTAACCACCACTTAGAAGACCGCGTTGCGTTACTTTTATATATTGCAATCTCTTTCTAATATTCCTTTTCTTGTTAAGAAGAAATTGCAAAGGTCTACTTGTATGGCTTTTTTTTTTTGCGTTCATTACATATCTTGGATCTTCAGTTAAAAGTCGAAAAACCTGACCTAAAATATCAATAAGACCTTAATTCAGTATATCTAACCACAACGCTTCATCTACGACAACGGTGATCTCACGCGTTTTTTCTACTTGCCAGGTAGGTATCATAAGTAGCCTCATACGGGAATTAATTGATGCGTGCGCCTGATCTCAGACGGTCATGCCGATAAGAGTCATGTGAAAAAACAAACGGGAACAGAATCTCTAATATTCATAGACATCTGATTCGACCCAATTATTCGGGCAAAGATCACTCATGATTGAGTCTCGGCACGGAGAATACCTCTGCAAGCTTCTGCAGCTCTGCATGAAGCGGCTTAGGTTAGGGTCTTACATAGGGAAATCTTACGTACGGCAAGACTCCAATAATCTGGATGGACCATTCACGAGCTGTTGAAGCGATTCTGCCCTATAGACCACGCTAGAATTTCTAGTACTACCCGAACGAAGAGCCTCGACAGGGGGGTTGTTGACGAATTAGCAATGCTGGTACCACATTCTATTCGCTGGCCTAGATGCAGGACTATTAGACAAGTTGGTAGGTAACCCAGAATTTCTCGGAAATGATCGCTATTGATTCCTTTTCCTCGTAGCCCTGGTCTAGGTTCTCACAATGGTCACGTAATCATTTTTAACGTCATAATTGGCAATTATAAGATCCATTTCGGATATAGATACAGTCCATCTATACCATACAATTCCATTCCTCAAGCCTTCCGGACACTAGCTTACACTCTAGCATTCCATATTGGGTATCATAATGTCATCTGCTACCCTCCCCAAAAAACTTCAATTGTCTCCACATGTTTCAGTTGAAGCATTTATGCCTTACGTGAAGCTGCAGCTTCGGCGTCTGCCTGCTTCACTATATCTACCTCGGCACCTCGCTGGGTTGTCTTTCCAGCATCGTGCTGCTTTTCGTATTCCTGTTGCGCGGCCTTGTTGCCGGTAACACTTGCGAAGGCTCCACCCACAGTGCCGGTGACACGATCAGAAATGCCGCTGACGTAGTCATTAACCTGGCCCTTGGCTTCTTGCTGCTTGCCTTCTTCGTTTTGTTTACGTCCAGCTGCCTTTAGGGACTGCCGACTAATGTTAGCGTATTTTGCCAATGTTCGTGGGGTAGCTTAGGGGTCTAGCATTATTGACTTACCTCGACGCCTGTTAGTCCGCCGACGAATTCCTTAGCGGAGCCTACGGTCTGGTTGTAGGAGCCGGCAGTTCTGTCAGGGTTGTCCTTTGTGACGCCCGATGATGAGGCAGTGAAGCCCGGAGCTTTAATAGTAGCGTGCGATGCGTCATACTCGGCATCGCCCTTGTTTTTCTTAACTTGACCTTGAGTCTAGATAAGGGTTTATGTTAGTTGATATTGGATATGTCGACATATATTATAGAACTGGTATGGAGAACACATACCTGATCAGCCGTGCTTCCGGTTACGCTGCCGAATGCGTTCTGGACAGCACCAGTAGCCGAGTCGACGACGGACTTGAGAGTGGAAGTGTTATCGTTAGACATCTTGGTAAGGTTGATAATGTAGGATAATTTGATATATAGGTAAGTACTGTGAGTTGGTATTGTGTTGAGTTGAGGGAAAACCATGATAATGAAGAGGGAGTGAAGGGCCTTTTATAATCCAGTTAAATTCGGAGACTAGCACGTTGCGCAATATTGTTACTAGAAGGCAAAGTTGGAATAGGACTTGAAATAAGCGCAAAATACACCAGCGATAATGCAAATCTCTGAGGGCAATCTCCAATCTCGATGTAAGTGACTATGGCGTTTTGCTTTGGTGGCACAAAGGTAATGCAGAGATTACCCCTTTAGGCAAGTGAGACGTCATTGAGCGTGGCGTCAGGTCCTTTTCGTTGATGTCATAATGATTGCATTGGGCTAAGGCCTGCTTTCAAGCCACTTGCGCTTCCGACTACATGTACTTGGTTTGTTCAATCATGGAGAAAATGAATAGGCTTACCGCTAAATACGTAATCTCATGCATTTAGCACGAGCCATTTACTCCTTTGAATACCTATGTTAGATCACATTTTTTGCGGTATCTACGATGACGTACTTGGCATTCATTATATTGCTTCACTATGGCTAGGTACGTAGCACCTAGTGTATGCCGTATGCGGTATGCCGTCTTCCCGGGAACAAACCTTTGCAGCTACATGGTATGAAGCTGTAGTTTCACATACAAGATGTCCTGCCAAGTTTTATCGTCTAGAACATATCCATTTACTCGGCTATGTTTTATTTCACAAGAGTAGCAATGACAACCAAATGCATCAAAAACATAACATCGTGTTGAAGGACTTATATCCCAACTATCTCAACCAGAAACTAATTTGCTCATGAACTCATATTCAGCATGCCATTTCATTTGGTATCATTGAGATAAGTAATGTCCACCGGATTTTCTAGCGGCCCTCCCTAAAATAATCGCATTCCCTATGCGACCCGAAACCGCATGCATGTTCGCAATCAAGCAGCGAAATACACAATAAACCGCCATAACGCCTAAAATTACAAGTGAGAGGATGTTTTTGTCCTCAGCGCCCAACCAAAAGCGATGGTGAAACTAGGCATATAGCCCAATTTGACATATTCATCTATGAGTGATAAGACCTCTTTTCCTTAAGTGCGATTAGGATTAAAGAGTTCGGCATTCAGAGAGGTTAGTGACATCATCAGTGCTGGCTCCATTGGATTGTGTTCAAATCAATGCCTTCCTGGACAAGTTCCCATAGAGGACTTAGTTCGCGAAGGAAGGTGACTCGTTCCTGAACGGCTTTGAGAACGTAATCGATTTCTTGCTCCGTAGTGAATCGACCAATGCCGAACCTGATGCTGCTGTGTGCGCTCTCATCACTATTTCCAAGTGCCCTTAAGACATAACTTGGCTCTAGCGAGGCGGATGTACAAGCACTGCCTGATGACAGCGCAATATCCTTCAGAGCCATAAGAAGCGACTCGCCCTCGACATATGCGAAGGAGACATTGACACATCCAGGATAGAAGCTTTCAGGGGCACCGTTTTGGGTCGCATGCTCCAATGCCAAAAGTCCCTTTAACAATCGATCGGACAGTGCCTTGATACGTTTCGTGTCATACTATGCATCGGTTAGCCATGAGGCATTATAAAGTGATTAATCATCAAGTAGATACATATACGAAAAATCAGACACGTGTGCTTTGTCTCAACATAGCGATTCCGGTCAAGGAGCTCAGAAAGCCATGCATGTATTAAGCGGTTCATCATTTGGTAATGAAAAAAGAATATACATGGGAAACTTACTTGTAACTCCTCCTGGGCGATGCGGCAGGCCTCACCAAATCCTACCACTAGAGGCGGAGCGAGAGTTCCGCTGCGTAGGCCACGCTCCTGGCCACCGCCACTGATGATAGGCTCTAATCTCACGCGCGGTCGTCTTCGGACATAGCAGGCACCAATACCCTTAGGGCCGTAGATCTTGTGCGACGAGATTGACATCAAGTCGATATTCATCGCATTGACGTCCAAGGGGATCTTTCCTACGGCCTGAGCTCCATCAGTGTGGAAGAAAACCTTCTTCTCGCGGCATAACTTGCCAATCTCTTCCAGAGGTTGAATAACACCAATTTCATTGTTCACAGCCATGATGCTAACAAGTGCCGTTGTTGGTTGGATTGCGGCTTCTAGTTCCTTTAGGTCGATCAAACCGTTGCTTTGGACTGGTAGGTATGTGACTTCAAACCCGTCATCCTGAAGATGTCGGCAACTGTCAAGAACACACTTGTGTTCCGTTTGACTTGTGATAATGTGCTTCTTCTTGCCAGATCGGCCAAAAAACCTCGCAACGCCCTTGATGCTCATGTTATTGCTTTCAGTTGCACCACTGGTGAATATGATTTCCTTAGGATCCGCACCAATCAACTTAGCAACGTGCGCTCGCGCTTCCTCAACGGCCTTTTCACTTTCCCAGCCGTATGCGTGTGTTCGAGAGTGGGGATTGCCGTAGATGCCAACGAAGAATGGCAGCATGGCGTCTAGAACTCTGGGATCGACGGGCGTCGTAGCTTGCATGTCTAGATAGATGGGACGTTGACCCTCCTCTAAAACAGTTGCCTCCTTTAGCACTTCAGCCATCGGGCTAACTGTACCGTTTGTGAGATTGCCGGAGCCTGGCATAACAAGCTCTCCTTTCTCATTCATGAAGTCCTTCTTATCTAACCTAATAGCCGTCTCAACATTAACCTGAGCATTGTCGCGTTTAGTTTCCGACACATATCCCCTTCGGGCGATCTGCGCGGCAGTTACACCTGCCACTTTTGATATGGACGGAAGTCCTCGTAGAGGAGTTGAGGCGATATGTTGCTTGAGAGCGAGGCGCGAAGCCTGTCTCAGTGCTGAAGATGCCACATTCGCCATGATGGCATCAAACGGAAATATGTGTTCAGTTATTAAAGGGAATATGGAGAAATGTGTGTATGAGAAGGAGAAAGATGGTGGAGTTGTCCTAAGCTTGAAGGCGAATTTCAAATCAATTATCAAAAGTCGCGAAAAAAGATCCGAAGCTCGGTCAACGGCGATTTAGGCCTTGGAGCTCGGGGATAGCGGAAACGGAAAAACAAGAGTGATCTTAATATTTAATTGGATGAGAAGGGCAACGGTATCCATCTTTGGTTTATCAGATCATGCATGTTACGTAAACCTTAGTTCCCATTCCTACCTACCTATGTACAGTGACACCTGCCCCTCATCATTCAGATGACGTTAGCAAGCTCCTGCTTTTCTTCTTGGCATTAGGTAGAATGATAAAGGAAAGATAGGTACATAGCATGTGCTGTTAGGTACACACTGCCCGCTAAAGTCAACGCGGTGATTCGGGTTTAAAGATTTAACGCTAAGAGATCCTCGGATATCCGGCAAGCGGTCCAATATGTAGTCCGTACCTACCTACATACATAACATTAAACATTCTCAGCTTCAGAATAGGTGGAAATTCACTATACGGTGAGTACCTAAAATAAATACATAATATATACCTGCCTACATGTACAATGCTTAATGCTTCTACATGTTTTTAAAGGTAAAAAGCTTCAGTAGTAGGTAGCGTAGGTACCTATGGAACCTTGTAGGCTTATTAGGTCCAAGCCACAAAAGTTGACGGATCCTTCGCGAAGCCGCGCTGATGATTTAAAGCACTGCCACAACAACGACGTCGTCAGTGGATGAAAACGACCTAAGTCACTAAGTCAGGTTTACTACAAGTCACTTTTACATACATTTGCTACTACACTACTTTACTACTAATTTCTGCCTTGCTTGCCGTCACCTGCTGCAACCTCTACTTCGCCCTTGATACTACTTTTCGCTTTTCAACTACTCAACTATTACCTCGCAATCCATTAGTGTAGTATTGCTTCCCCCTGAACGCTACGCAGTAAAGACTACAAGGAAACATCCTCATTCCGAATCAATACCCCCACTAAACCATACATCGCAATCAGAACCACTACAAACAGATTATTTCAACCTCGCAGACTTGCAGACTTGCAGACTCGCAGAGCGATGAGCTTCCGAGGCTTCCAGAAAAGCGTCATTCGAGTAAAGAACAATGCGCCTGGCCCCAAAAACAAGAATATTGAAACTAATTAAACCTCTCTAACCCATAGGCGCCGCAACAATTTAAAGCCAAGTTTAACATTGGCGAACACTCAAAAGATCCCGTATTCATCGATGCAGAGCGACGTTTCCAGGAGCTCGAAGTCGAGACAAAACACCTCCACGATGAGAGTAAGAAGTATTCCGATGCCATCAACGGCATGCTCAACCACCAGATCGAGTTCAGCAAAGCGATGACCGAGATCTACAAACCCATATCAGGTCGCATGTCAGATCCCGACTCGATAGAGGTTCAAGGCAACCCCGAAGGCATCCGCGCTTGCGAGGAGTATGAGGCTGTCGTCAAAGATCTACAAGAATCGCTTAAGCCCGAGCTTGAGATGATCGAGTCGCGAGTTATTCGTCCCGCGAATGAATTACTTGACGTACTCAAGGTCATCAGGAAAACAGCAACAAAACGTGAACACAAGAAGCTCGACTACGACCGACATAATGCGACACTTAAGAAAATACAAGATAAAAAAGAGAAGAGTGCCAAGGACGAGAAGGCCTTGTGGAAAGCAGAGAGCGATGTCGAGCAAGCTACGCAAGAATTCAATTACTTCAATGATCTCTTGAAGGACGAACTACCTAAGTTGTTCACTCTTGAACGCCAATTCATCAAGCCGCTATTCCAATCATTCTACTATATGCAACTGAATATCTTCTATACGCTCCATGAGAAAATGCAACATTGCGATATTGGATATTTCGACTTAACGCTTGATGTAGAAGAGGCATTTTTGAGGAAGCGGGCAGATATCCTGGAACAGACTGAACAGCTAACCATTGTTCGATTTAAGACCAGCGGCCAGAAGAAGCCGCCACCCAAGTACGCGAACAAGCCAGCAGCATTAGAGGCGGGACCACGGCCTGCTGGATTACTCACTGCAGGCCCATCATCCGCACCGAGCCCAGCATCAGTTAAATACGGCCAAGAGTCGCAGCCAGAGCTTGTAGAGAACCCTCCTCCGCCATATTCCGCATCATCAGCTGCCTTCAAATCGCCACTATCTCCACCTCCAAGTGGCCCCAAATCGCCTGGGCTAGCAGCGCTTGCAGCAGGGAAGCCAAAACCCCCTCCGCCGAAACCTAAGCCCAGCCGACTTAGCGGCGCGCCAGCCGTAGAAACAGCTACTGCTTTATACGATTATTCAGCCCAGGCCGAGGGTGATATCAGTTTTAGGGCAGGAGACGTAATAGAAATCGTTACCAGAACATCAAATGAGAACGAGTGGTGGATTGGCAAGTGTCATGGTAAACAGGGCCAATTTCCTGGTACGTATCTAACCTATCTATGATACCGGAGATTGTGTACGATTCAACTAACTATTACGTGGTAGGAAACTATGTGAGACTGGGCTAGAGATCTGCCTTTCGACCATCGAGATACTGTAGGTGATTTCATCTACGATATAATCGATAGAACAAGTCTACTAGCGGTAAATAGGAACTGGGACATAATACAGCTAGGCCGTATGGCGCATAGCCATCACACGGCAAGTATCTCAGAACTTCAGGGGGTGTCTTTGTGATAGCATTAGTCAGTAAATATTGGGCTATTGCTGGAACCTATGCTGGACTTCTGGAAGCGGGAGAAGATATGAGAGGCAGTTGGAATGGTCAGTTCAGCAATCAAATCGACGACTCCCGATGAAATAACCTATAGGAACATAAGACAACGAGCCGTAATATTGCTCGTATTTGTATGTTCTCTTCCCTAAACCAGACCGGTAGCATGATAACCACAGTATCAGAAACCAGTCAGGCAAATTCCAGTTGTGCCCCTAGTACACTGAAATAGATGTTATATTATTGACTTTAGTTTCATCTTATAGTGTATGCCCCCAAAAGTCTAAAACTACCTAAACTAAAGCATAAATATAATCTTATGGGATTGGATATCCGAATATCTAACCTAGTTAGCTTAATGGTTGCCTCAGTTGCATTCGTACCTTCCAAAGTCATAACACCAAAACTACCTAACCTAACCTAACCTATGCAAATATCCCCTGGCCCGGAACCACGGTTGGTCTCGTTAAGGTGGCCTAACATTATTCTTGTGGCAGCTATTCTCCTTACTACTTTAGCACGCATTTCCCCCTCAGCTTCGCCCCTTTTTTCTTCCTCCAGCATGGCTCCTAGCATATCGGCTGCGTGCTGGATTTGGAATATTTTTCCTGTCCGGGCTTATACATGCCATGACGGCTTAGAAAGCTGGCCGGGGCGAAGCTCGTCGTGATTTGCTCTTTTTCTGTGCCAATTATCTTGCTGTAGGGGGTGAGATCTTCGTTTGAAGACTTCTTAGAGGCTTGGTGCAGAAAACAATGTTTGAAGCACTACTAAGGGACCAGAGAATGCGCGTCATCGGAAAAGCTTTGGGTTTTATATGGGGTTTTGTTGGTTCTTCTGGTCAGCGCCTAGGTGGCTCTGTCCTAAGACTCTCCGTTGGTATTTGAAGCAGGCAATATTACGATCACGAACATAGACAAACTAGAATACGTAAATCACCTTCGTAACTTGAGGACAACTAATATTTAACTACGTGAAAACTAGATAGTTTGTCAGGGTCAGATCTCCCCGCAATTTGTAGGATGGGCTTAAGATCCTAGACGTAGATCCCCCAGGTCTCGACCTGCCGAGTGATCTTGGCAGATATCCCCGGATCTCAGACCAGGGGTAGGAAAATAGGGTAGCTGGGCAGCTGGGGTAAGAACAGAGCCCTCTGATGTTCTAGAATATTGCTCATCCCGCCGCGTCTACATAACGTAAGGAATTCCTTCGAAATCCTTGGCCACGTGTCACTCACGCGACACGTTCCCTTTAGCTAGATAGAATAGCTTGCTGGGAGTTTCCGTGAAGAGCCATAGTTAGTACCTAGTTACCTGAATATTATTGCATACACAGGGATGTCGGTGGATGAATACGAGAGCATCGGTCATATTCTTAATACACAGGTGCTGAAGAACGGCGAAGCTTGAACTTGTGTCGGGCTATGCTTTCAGGGGCGATATGGTTTGGCGGAACATCATGGAACAAGGCTTTGGAGGAGATCCTAGTGAGACCCGAAGAAGTTTCTATTATTCCTTGCGTATTTCAATACCTTGGACCTCAGGAAGGCCCGGAATTGTTGCATATTGCTTTTGTTGTATTGTTGATAACGGATAGTTACTTTCATCAATGGGAACTATGTGGAATATTGTCTGCCAGGGAACATCACTCAAAATAGCATATCACATACTAATTAACTAGTAACACCATATTAAAACAATTTAACATATACTAAATAATTGTTGATTTCTTTAATATTGTTTTGTGGCTTATCATGCCTAGGTAGTTCTTAGGTAGTAACATGAAATTGTATTGTGATACTATTAGCATAATGATTATGTTCCTAACTCACTATGTACTAAGAAAAGATATAATACACACAAGGCTATTGTTCGTAAACATATTCTAAAAACAATCAAATTGTACGCCCTCTTCGTATGTAGATATAGAGTAGTGTTGGCTGACATTCTCTCGATCCCACATACTCATATTCCTTAAACTATTTCAAGGGACCTGTTATTAATATTCATACTCTCTACTTTACATCAACGTTTAATAACACAAATTAGCCTGCAACAATGTCTGACACATACAACTTCGCTGCAGCAAGTGCTGCTAGCCAGATCACCGGCCGTAGGGTCTTTTCAGTATCGAGCCCCAGAGAGCACCATGTGGGCAAAGATTTTGACTTTTCCAGGCCTGATAATTTGAGTCGAGCTTTCGCTATCGAAAGCCTCCAGTATTACCGCTCAAATATTGTAGAACGGGAGGCTATATATAGGTCATTGTCTGATTGTCTTCTGACATACAGTCAAGACTTTAAAGAGGTTGTTTCACTTTGTGTTGGCAAGCCAGACGGTGTGTTTTCTGACCACCGTCAGTTTCAACTACCCAATGATGTCGATGCGGTTCGTCGAGTAGTCGCAAAAAATGTTAACCTGGACGGTAGCCTCCGCAGTTATAAGCCTATCTTTAACAGGATAAGGAAATCGATGTACTCTTTTTGGGTTGTGCCGGTGGACGGTATTTGGGTTCTGATAGTTATGCACCTCGCGGACTACGACGAACGAGAAGATAAGAACCGCAAAATGAGCATATCCAGGGTCGACGGGAAGTCAATCACTGCTAGATTTATAAGGATTTATGATGTCGTCCACGAAGGCAGACTCGAGAGACAGCAGAGAATAAAAGAAAGGCTCCCGATCGTACTCAAAGAAGGCGACATCGACATCCTGGATATCCACGGAAAATACCCGTCATTTGCGGCAGTAGAAGGGCTTCCGACGTTGTATAATTACAGCCATGAATCAGGTCTGCTCATTCACATGATCGTTGAGCATTTGTTTGAAAGGCTCGAAATGATTGTCCAAAGGGTGAAGAACCCTTATCTCGGGACGATGCGGCAAAGGCTTCATAACCGTTAATATGAGAAGTCCTTGTGGGCACCCATCCGTCTGCCCGCGAATCCAGGCGCATTATACAGAGCTCGTGGTCGAATGATTGGGAACATGATGACTGCCATGAGTGCTACAAATCAATGGCAAGCAACAGCGGCCATTGAGTTGCCTGGTTGCGACCTACGTATGGGGAGCGGTTTGTCATCGACTCTGCAACGTCTTAGCCTAGCTGACGACGTCCAGGGTGATGGGAACGAAAGCCCGATATGATCATTGGCTAAAAGAACAACGTTTAAATATTTTGGGTGTATGTATATATACTCGACAGCTAATCAGATGAGTTGCTTGGTATAGTTATAGCTTAGGTTAAGTATAGGTTTTATTAGTTCTGGTAGTTATGAGGTTTTAGTGTTATTCATTTTTATGTGATTTTTAAATGCTTTTATATTTCAATACGGAAAGCGTGAGAACGATCTTGATGATGGTAATTGTTTCGAAGAAGTTTCTTACCTCGCTGTCTTTTCTCTTTTCTAACCTAAACGGCTGCATAGTCTGATTAGATGTTTAAGACTAGTTAGGTACCTAAGTTATAGAAAGTACTAGTTATAGCTATTAAGATTGAAATTGACTACCTTACTTTCTAATAAAATATATGAACAGAAACATAACAGGTAACTAACTAGTTAATAAGACAAGACTTGCTCTTTTAGAAATGACGTAACGTCTCATCGGGAACCGAACCCGCAAACCTGCAGTAAAACAAGGGGGTTTAAGATAAAAACAAAAACGAAAACAACGGAGGTCACGAAGATCCAACAAACTTGTCTTACATCTCTTTCATCGTTAGACTCTGTTCTACCTTTACGCCACTTAGGTCACAATAAATAGTAGGTCATGGGGCCTTACTAGTCAGCTAGTGTATACCATGTAAGTCAAAGCACCCTTACGGGGGCCACCCTAGTGGGGGCCACCTCAAATTTTTAGACCTTCAAAACAAGCACCTCAACTTCAATTCAACGTTATTTAATCAAATTAAATTCAATTAATTTACAATCTGTTATATTTTAACGACGATACAGTCCTCTGCTATCGACTCAACTGACGAGGCCTCATCTTCCAAATTGGTGTTGGAATTGCTGATTGTAACTGCACCACCTGATTCCTGGGCCTTCAACTGCTCCTTCTCTTTCATAATAGCCTCAATATTTACAAACGTCGAATTCGGGTCAGGTAATACCTTGCGCCGTTTTTGCGGCTTCGCATTTGCTAATGCCTTTTCTAAATACTCGGCGCGGGCCTCTGTTGTGGCTAATTTCACAGTAGCCTTATCGAGGGCCTTGCCGATCTTATTGAATAAAAGCCTTGCCGCGGGTTTAGCAAACGTTGTATCGACCTTGGATAGCTCTTTGGCTAAAATATTAATATCTCGTGAACTTGAGGGCGTTGCTAAAGGGATTGGGGCCATATTTTCGATAAAATTAGGCTTTTTTGGGTTAGAAATAAGGCCCGGGGGGGCCGGGGTAGTACCGGGAGCCTCCCGGAGCACAAGCCGGTGATTCAACGGCTTATTCCGATCCCTAGGATAGATCCCCGTAGCCTTCCAGCCAGCCAGTATATTATGTCTGGTTAGACGTTCTTTTCGTGCTATCTGATAGGCCGTAATGAATTCCCTTTTACCGGGATTAGAGATATAATATAACTGGCATACCTCAGTAAGTTTACGACGATAGCCTCGTTTCATCGATGAGAATACACCCACGTCAGTAACCTGTAAGACGTGCGATGAGTGTGCCGGGATGAAGACAACGTAGACCTTATTTATAAAGCATTCCCAAAGGAATTCTATCGTGGTATGGCTACCGTGGCCGTCGAGGATTAGTAATCGCCATTGCTGACGATTTGATGGCCTCGTTTCTTTTAAAAAGACCTTACGAAGCCATTCAAGTGCGATATCATTATTAGTCCAGCCATTAGGAGACGTAGTGAACTTCCAGCCCTTGAATCTAACGTCCTCATCGTCAGGAAACCACTGTTGTTGTACGTATTTACCTGCATATATAATGAGGGGATTCAGAAATCGGCCGTCGCCACTAACGCACTTAATAATCGACGTCCAGGTTTTATTGCTACAGTTTTTAACCACGATACGCTTCTTATAGGCCTCGCCGATGACTATCCCGTTGTCCCCAACCCCTTCCATGATCCCCATCTCGTCAGCGCTGTACGTATGCCTGGCCAGGATATTCTTGATCCTAGGGGCCTCGAGTCGGTCGAAAAAGATATTAATATTATCAGCTATAGCCCCGTTAACTCGTTTATAATCGATCAAACAGGCCCTAGCCGATTTAATATTAGGATGACGAGATAAAAATCGTATATGCCAGTGTTTACCGAGGGTATCGGGCCGGTGATTGTGGGCTAATAGTCTTCTCGCGATATCTCTAAATCGATATAAGGGAGGCGCATGGCCAATACGGCTCAACGTAACGGCCCAATCGGCTAATTCCTTTTCTTGATACTTCGATAGCTTCTGACGTTCCTCTAGATAGTCGTCTCGTGTTCTACGGCCCAATATTCGGTCCGTAAGGTAGTGTCGTGATATAAGGTGTTTTTTAGACGCCTGCCGCAGGGATGCGCCGTCGAGAACGTCGTTTATCGCCGCAGCGCAACGCAATTGGGCTGAGAGAGTAGGCATTTTAGAATCGTGAGAAGATGAGGATTTAAATGATAAGTTTTATTTTTTAATTGACTAAAAACTGATGAAATTATATAATAATTCGTATGTGGACCTCATCGCGAACGCGTCGCGTTTTTGAGGTGGCCCCCACTAGGGTGGCCCCCGTAAGGGTGCTTTGACTTACCTGCTGTATTAACACAAGTTGCGTCAGCAATGCTGATCATTGCTATCATCGCCCAATTCTTTTGCTTTAATCTCCGGCCGCTAGTCTTATCTCCCAATGTTGTTGGGTTTTCCACATGCCACATATGTAAGGTACCGTTTTATGTATATGCAAGATAACGACAATGGCCCTCCCTTTTCCGATTGGCTGTAAGCTGTAAGCCACTTACAACGAACAGGGAAGAAAGACTACCTAGTGTAGGGGTTATCCCACCGTTGCTGCGGTTTTTGGATGGTCAATATTAAATCCATATTAAAAACATGGCATAAATCTTAATTTAACAGCTTACTGGTAGGAATGCATGATTTCGTAGAATTACGCAGGGTTCTTCCTGAGCACCCTTGAATGGCTTTGGCCGGCAAAATATCCCCCGACTTAAACAACAACTCATAAGCTCCAATACTACTACTACATATTTCACTGTACATATCTATATAGGGGTGTCTCGCATATATTTATGTACTAGAATGCCGGTTCCTGAGGGCGTGTGCATGTTTCATTTGCTTCTTCTCAACTCCCGATCTTCTTGTGAGGAGATTTGTGAGGAGATAGCTGGCCATTCCGCTGCCCTTTACTGCTACATCTTCTAGGCCCTCGACCTGTGACGCAGATCGCAATGAAGGCTTCCTCGCTTGTTTGCGCTACCATTGCGCTTCTCCAGGCCACTGTCGAAGCCAAAGATGTTGTTGTCGAGTCCCTACCAGAGGTTCCAATGGGCTGGAGGAAGGTCAAGAACGCGGATCCGAATCAAGTAATCAAGCTGCGGATTGCTCTTGAACAACCTAACCTGGACCAGTTCGAGCAAACCCTCTACGACATATCTACTCCTCAACACCGTTTATACGGGCAACATCTCTCGCGCGATGAAGTGAAGGAGATGATGAAGCCAAGAGAGGAGTCGACCGCTGCCGTACTAGAATGGCTACGGAAATCTGGCATTCCCGCATCGGATGTCAAGAATGACGGGGAATGGGTCAATTTCCAAACTACCGTGCTAAAGGCGGCGAGTTTGCTGGATACCGATTTCCAAGTGTATAACCATGTCGGAACAGATGCACAGCGAATCCGAACTCTGCAGTATGTATCCGCCTTGTTCAACGGATGAATACGAGATTTGCTAATCCGAAAACAGCTATTCCGTTCCCGAGGCAGTTCGGTCTCATATCACTATGATTCAGCCGACGACCAGATTTGGCCAGATGAAACCGCACGCCGTGGAGGTGTACGAGGTCATCGAGCAGGAAGAAGCAGCTCCTTTCTTCAAGGTCGCCGCGGAGATCCCTACCCAGGAACTCAATGCGACTTTCTGCAATACTACCATAACCCCTGAATGCTTAAGGGCGCTTTACAACGTCGGTGACACGGTCGCAGATCCTAGCGTTGCGACTATATTTGGTGTGAGCGGCTTCCTAGAGGAGTATGCGAAGCATGATGCACTAGACAAGTTCCTCGAGACATACGCTCCCTATGCTCTTGCCCAGAACTTTACCACGTTCTCTGTTAATGGCGGTTTGGACAACCAGACTGACTCTGTCGACGATGATGTCGAGGCCAACCTGGATATGCAGTACGCGGCATCATTGGGGTTCAACACGGATATCCGATACTACTCTAATGGAGGCCGTGGACCTCTGGTTCCTGATCTTGAGTAAGTAGCACAGTCGTGTCGTCCTCATTGATTGAGACAATGCTAATATATAATCTAGCCAACCGGATCCGAATACCGTGAGTAGATCTTGCATACCAGTGATCTAGGACTCAGTTATTAACTTTAATATAGGGATCTAATGAGCCATACCTCGAGTACCTGACCTACCTCCTGGATCTCCCAGACAAGGAGCTCCCGCATACTCTGACCACCTCTTACGGTGAAGATGAGCAGTCAGTACCCAAGACGTACGTCAAGAAGGTCTGCACTATGTTCGGCCAGCTCGGAGCTCGCGGAGTGTCCGTGCTCTTCAGCTCTGGAGAGTAAGTTTTATTTATTATGCCTGCTGATACCGACTTATACGTTATACGGCAAGCTAACTGTTTCCCCTAGCACCGGCCCAGGTAGCGCCTGTCAGACAAACGACGGCAAGAATATCACCCGCCTTCTCCCCATCTTCCCCGCAGCCTGTCCGTACGTCACATCCGTGGGCGGCACTGTCGGCGTCGAGCCCGAGCATGCAGTGTCTTTCTCATCCGGCGGCTTCTCCGATATCTTCCCGCGCCCAAATTACCAAAAAGCCGCCGTAGACGCGTACCTCGGCACCATCGGCGCCACGTTCAAGGGGCTGTACAACCCGTCCGGCCGCGGGTTCCCAGACGTCGCGGCCCAGGGGCGCAACTTCAACGTCATTTCCCAAGGATCGGTTATCAAGGTCGGCGGAACGTCGGCGTCAGCGCCGACCTTTGCAGCCATCGTCAGCTTGCTCAACAACGCGCGCATCAAGAGCGGCCAGAAGCCCCTGGGTTTCTTGAACCCGTGGCTTTACAGCGATGCTGTCCACGGTGGTCTGACTGATATTGTGCTGGGTGGAAGCAGAGGCTGCACCGGAAAAGACATCTACAGCGGTTTACCGGCGCCTTATGTCCCTGGTGCGGGTTGGAACGCGACGAAAGGCTGGGATCCCGTCACCGGGCTCGGCACTCCGTTGTTTGATGTGCTGCTTAAAAAGGTTGCCCCGGGTGTCAAGATGCCGAAGATTACCGCGTGAATATGGGGAAAATGCGTCGCTGAGTGCTCATAGTGTACCGAATCCAGGCAACTGGATTCGGTGTTTGGCGGTAGCTGGTTCCGGGTTCTTGGTATAGACTCTGGGTTTCTGAGTTCCTCAGACGTTCAAGCATAGGCTATCCGATAGAACTATAATATATCTTTATGCTACAAATATATCTACCCTGTAACCCTTGCTATTGTTGAGAGCACAGAGTTGTGTTATGACTGGTGATAGTATGTGTTGTTTGGGAGATTGTGATATAGAAAGTTGTAAGTTTGATCTGATTCTCATAGTGACCAGCATTGTTTTATGTTCGCATCTAAGGAGGGTTCCGGATAACAGGTATACTCCGGTCTTACTAGATTCCTCGCATGGTAAGAAACCATGGCCTTCTTTCATCTGGATAATCCACTGAAGACGTAGGCTTCATGCTGATTATAAAATTGAGCGATTGCATATACTTGCATGTGAAGATACATAAACCCGGGTCGACATTTGCGGACGTGATTTTTTCACAATATGTACAGATTAAAGTAATTGAAAGCACGAGCAATTCCAATGCCTAGGTACCTAGGTAGATTCGGAATCGTCTGAATATGAAAAAAGGTAATAATAATAATGATAAGCATACGGGCCTACACATCTACCTATGTACAACCATCAGCCCGTCTCAGGCTGGACCCCGAGCCCGAGAAAAGATCCAATATGTAGACAGACAAGCCGCCCCGAGCGGTGAACAATTCGCATAAAAGCCATGTATACATGAGAAACAATGCATTAAGGATTCCACCCTCCCCCATGCCAACCGTGGACCGGAAGGGCTGCCGACGTTCTAGATATCGGATGGAAAAGTTGGGAATTAATATAAGTTGTACCAAGATCTGGCATCTCCGTGCGACCTGATATTTTTACCCCGGTCATCTGGTCTCCCGGGACTTGAAAAGGTCGTTTCGTTATCGTTCATCCACTCTGAAGTAACCCCCGATGGCAATTTAGTTGCCGTTGTTATTATTATTATTATTGTTGTTGTTTTTATTGCCGCCGAGTAGTCCAGCGTTAGCAGCCACACCTAGACCGACACCAAGGGCGATGGCGATGATGATGATTACGACGATGAGACACCACCACTTTAGCTTTCTGCGGTTTCGGGCGTGGTCGATTCCTTTCTTCACATGAGTATTGCCCTCGTCGATGTATTTAGTCGTGTTCTCGGCATTGTTGACTGCTTCGTTTACCGCATGATCTTGTATCTCCACTAAGATGGCAAGATCTTGGAACATATTTGCGAGTTCGATAAGGGTCCGCTCAATGCGCTGGAGCTCATTGTGGCGTGCGCGCACTGCGCCGAGAACTGACGACGCTTGACCGGCACGGTTGGTGCGGAGCTATATCTCGCGTCAGCATTATTCATATTTGAGGATGACTTGGATATTTTTTATTATTTTTATTTTATTATTATTTTTTGGTGAGAAAAGGCGCAAAGAAAAAAAAACCCATACCGCTGTCTGGAAGACACCTTCATTGCCCCAATCGGCATCAGCCGCATTGCGAACTTCTTCCTCGGTAGCCTCGGGATTGACAATGCGGTACTGACGAGCAATCTGTTCGCGGTACCGTTGACTGTAAACGCTCTCTTCTTTCTGGTAGTTGCTTAATTCGCGCTCAAACTCGGCTTTGATGGTGGCAACCTGCCGGTCCTTCATATCGCGCGTGGTACTGTTAGGCGGAGATTTGTATGCATCGTTGGCTAAGAATTTTAGTTGATCTCGAATGCCGGTGTTTAAGGTCTGCGTGTCGGCGACAACACGTTCAAGTTGCTGCGATGCTGCACCGCCGTCGCCTTCAGCCAGCGCACGCTGGTGCAGGGACGCAATTGTTTGGACATTGCTCGTAAGGGTGCGGATTTCATTACGAAGGAATTGAATCCGGTTGAGGAAATCCTGCTGTGGCAGAGTGTCTGAGATTTGTTGCTGCTCTGGATAGTTCTGTAGTTCGTGCTCCTAAATGTTTGTTAGATAGCCGTCGCCATACGCCGGGTCAGCCCTAATGGCTACAAAACTGCCTTACCTGGTAGCCTTGTTCAGCTAGAGAACCATCCTGGTATTGGTTGTTTTGGTATTGACCGTAAGACATGTTGACTGCTAGGCCGTCGCCCTTATGACATCCAAAAAGCCCAGTATTTTAGGACCTTAGAGTAGGTGGACGGACGGTAAGTAGTGGAATGGTTGGATGTGATGATATGGTGTGACGTGATGCGACCGTGGGATGAGGGCTGAGGAGCGGAAATTGGGAGTCGGAGAGGACAATAGTCAAGAGTCAAGAGTCGAGTGAAGATTGAAAGATTGAATCAATTTACAGCTACTTCTTCCGCTGCTGCACCTGCACTGCTACATACGGGAGGACGGGAGGACGGGGCTGGGCTGGGCTGGGCTGGGGGACGGCGGATGTTCCCTGCTGACCGTAGGTGACGTCTGGGTAAATTTTCCCCTAGGGTCTTTCCGCTCCAATCACCGTCTCCGAGTCGGGTTGTTTGGTTTGCCTAGTGTATCGGCGGAGATGAGAGAATAAAATACAGTAATTCAGATGGCAGATGGAGGAAATAAACCACGACCGAAGCTTGAAAGAAATTGACGGGGAAGACGGCTAAGTTTGACTTGAAATCTGTTTTTGTTTTCTATTCAAGTGCTAGGTAACCTGCAAATCAGTCTTTCAAGCCAATCATAACTATCTGACTGTCTAGTAACTCCCGAATTGTATGTCAAGCTGTGATTGTGATGGTCCATGGCATGGGTGGCTTGGAACGAAAATCGACGTTGGCCAAGCTAAGATTTTTAGTGGGAGCCTGGCGGATAAGGTACCTACCTAGGTACCTCTTCTCTTGTATGTACATAAAACCACCCTTCTCACATAAATGTACCTAATATTTTAATCGGGGTTACAACCACATTACTGCTGCAGTGAAGCAAACAGCGCAACACTATACATGTAAGCTCCTTACATGATAGGAAAGTACATAGGTAAGAAACTGGTGGCAAGAACGGAATGCGGGCCATACCTCCATGCATCCTGACTTATGTACATTTGTATGTACATGTAGGTATGACCCTAAAATAGCACAGCCCTGCTGCTATGTAGGTAGGTCACGTCAGCGTCCAAGGCTATGAATTCTTAATTTCCCATTTCGTCATAGCTTGTCAGCTTGTTAAGTCCCTAAATTGAGTAGCCTAACGCACATGTAACCCAGCCTTATCCGTTAAGAATGTCTTTTGCATCTATCCTTCAACAGATAATAGCTAGTTTAAGCTTAAGTCTACTGGTCACATCATCCTACAATGTTGCTCGTATAAGGCTTGGTTGGATCTTGTCTTTCTAAACGGATGTTTCTGGAATAGGAGTTAGACAGTAACCCCTTGTAGTCGTACGAAGAGTTGAAAAGTACTGACTAGTAGTTATAGACGCTCTATAACGATGTCTCCTGCTATAATAACCACCAATACAAGACCAATTACTCGAATATAATATATCTACCGAAACAACTTCCTCTGAGACTTAACTTTCCATTTATTCTTGCTCGTAGCTATATACCACGAACTCAAATTCGTCACATGTCTTTCGATTTCTTCCAGCAGTATGGATCATACGAGGTTGTCGTAGACATTATCTCTTTGCTCTGTAGTATGACCTTTGAAGATTATTTCTTTAGAGTACCATGGAAGACCGCTGTAGTCCTTATAAAAGGTATCCCGTTGGCTCGGGTTCAGGTCAACAGAAACGGAAGAACGCCGCCGAAAAACCAACATCAAGACCCTGCAATCCTCTACCAGATGCATCAACTTTTCGTGCTCATCTTCGAGTACATGTGTTTGTTGGGCGGCTGTTTTGTTAATGAAGTTCTGGATGACATTTATATACTCGTGTGGAGATTTGCTTGGATCCGGGCAGAAACACACGGTTCTTCATGGCGCCATGTTTTCCTCTAAGGTATGTACGAAACCTACGGAGCCATAACCCCGTACGTTGCAGTTTTAAATTTGGTGGAATCGGCCTCAAAGATAGTCTTTCTTGCGGCTGGTTCTCGTGTATTGATTTAAATGCCACTCGACATCGCCATCTTTGTTCTCCAAAGTACCGCTCCGAATCTCGAATACCTTCATCGTCATTCGAGGACCGACTTCAGATAATTCCACACTATCGTATCCAGTTCTGACGAAAACGTGATGCCGTACTTCTATGGCATCTTCAATGTTCTTGAATGTAACTACTCGACTTCCGAGCTTAGAATTGCTTGTTAGAGGCTCGCGCGGGGGGAATATATGCTTTAATATTTTAACAACCCTTGCACCAAGACGAGAAGCGAAACCTATAATTTGAGGTTAGTTACAGTTGGTAAATGTGGGCACGCACAGAGTTTACCATCAAATATCAAGTGAGGGTATGATTCGCTAACGGTTCCTCGAATACTGTTGGGAATATCGTGGCGCAATACAACATTATGTAAAGAGAATGATATGGTCGGCCCATGAGGGAAGTGGGACAGCGTTAACGCCGTAGGGACACCACGATGCTCATGAAGAAGAATTAAGTCGCTGAGACCACTACTCTGCGCCGATCGAACGAGGTCTGGTAGGATCAGATTACCACGATTCAATCTTATGGCAGTCGGGATAAGCAAACGGATTTCTTTGGCAAATGCTGATAGTCGGGCGGATGGATCCCTCGAGGTAGTGACAAGGACCCGAGGATCAACTATCCCAGAAAGTTGGGAGTACTCATCATCGAGATCCAACTCCTCATTCGTGCTTCTGTCTGGCCTGGATTCGTCAAACTGGTAGTCCTTTCTCAGCTCCTTGTCGTTTGCGATGGAGGGATCTAGGGGCCTGCCCGTCGCTAACGATGCTCTAAGTTTTGCTCTCTTCTCGCTTATCTCCGAGTCGCGGAGGAGAAGGGCTCTTCTGTAGAGGTAATCGCGCCGTTGTCGAGCTTGTTTGCGCTGTAGGTTGGGATTCTGTTAGTAGGTTTTATAGGTACCTAATTCATTATTGAGATGAACATACAATCATGATTTTTTGTTGGTGGTAGCGTAGAACAGTGCTACGTAGGTATATTTTTGCACTAGTGATTATGTAGTAATATAAAGCAGGAAAGAATGCGCAATTGCTCTAAGATGCAATGTTAACCTTCGAGGCGCAAAAATTGGTGTAAGTTATTACAAAGTCATGAACTTTTGGCGTGCATCAATTGGAATTTTTCATATCGGAGCTTATCAGACCCCCCGTCCGATAACTTTAGGTACGCTTAGGAGGTACTTTGGGGCTTAGGAACATTGAAAGTTTGGTCATTGGCCTGGGTGTCCGAGACCCACCCATCCCGCCTAAGAGATACCAAAGGTACATAGATTTCCGCCCGCCACAGTCAAAGATGCAAGCGCGAAAGTTATCGCAATCTGAGAATTCCAAAACCTCAGAATTCCACAATGTGATGACTTCCTTCTCATTTTCTCCTTACAACCCAACGTGTCCACTGTTCTCCTGCGCCAACTAGGGCAGCGAAAAAGGGACATCCCATCCGTGATCCACGTATCACTTTATACTCCGTAAGGTATTGTTGGTAGCCTTTGACTTTCGTTAACTCTTTTACACTCCCTCTTCTACCCATCCGCCTTCCACAAAACTCGTTCGCCAAGTTTCTATCCGCTCTCCCTTTGTACTCATTTATCTGCCACCCGCCGTGTTTTAATTCACCATATACTAGGACATTATATCAGGATATCCTGAGAGATAATATGTATTGACAAACACTAGATACAAAGAAATAGTCGTACCGAAATCCCGTTGCCCTAGCCGGCCGACGGCGCTACAATGGAAGGTGCTTTTACCCACCTGGGTAACCACCTTGTATCCGACTCTGCTGCCGCTATCAACGCTGGTGACGATGATCTTTCTACTCTTGATCCCGATGAGAGCCTTCTCTATGGAAAGTACAGCGGCCGTGGCGGACTAGGTACCGCAAGGCGAAGAAATGACGACGACGATAACGAAACCGAGGTTTTTGACGATGATGATACCGAGAGCGTGGCTAGCATTCCTGTTGGGGCTATGAAGGCTCTGAACCTAAAGGTCCCCGAAGAAGACAAGAAACTACCCCCACACGCCTGCGCGTAGGTTCCTCTAAGACGATTAAGCGAAAGTTCATTGGATTGTTAATGTGTTGGTTGCAGATATTGCGGTATCCATTCTCCTGGTTCGGTAGTTAAGTGTCTTGCTTGCAATAAGTGGTTTTGTAGCGCTCGAGGAAATGCAAGCTCTTCGCATATTGTCAATCACTTAGTTCGAGCTCGACACAAAGAAGTACAACTCCATCCCCAGTCCACGCTTGGCGACACGACCCTCGAATGCTATAATTGCGGTACGAAGAACGTTTTCCTCCTTGGATTTATCCCTGCGAAATCCGACACTGTCGTCGTCCTGCTTTGCCGTCAGCCGTGTGCCGCCACGCCCTCTTCGAAGGACATGAGCTGGGATACTTCCAGATGGCAGCCTTTGATTGAGGATCGCAGCTTTCTTCCGTGGCTTGTGTCGCCGCCTAGCGATAATGAGCAGCTCCGTGCTCGACATCTTACACCTCCCATGATTGCTAAGCTAGAAGAGATGTGGAAAGAAAATGCTAGTGCTACTATAGCTGACTTGGAAAAGGCGGCTAGTATTGACGACGATCCGCTTCCAGTTCTTCTCAAGTACGAAGATCCGTATCAGTATCAAAATATATTTGGTCCCCTCGTAAAGATGGAATCCGACTACGACAAGAAGTTGAAGGAGGCGCAATCTGAGGATGGCCTGGTTGTTCGATGGGACCTAGGACTTAACAACAAGCATCTTGCCAGCTTCACATTCCCCAAGTTGGAATCTGGCGACGTCAAGCTAGCAGTAGGTGACGAGATGCGACTCAAGTACAAGGGCGAGCTTCGTCCTCCCTGGGAGGGAGTGGGATATGTGGTTAAAATCCCGAACAATCAATCTGACGAAGTTACTCTGGAGCTGCGCAAGACGGGAAATGAGAAGTCTGTGCCTACCGAATGCACTCATAACTTCTCGGCTGATTATGTTTGGAAAGCAACGTCTTATGATCGCATGCAGGCTGCTATGAAGACCTTTGCTGTGGATGAGATGAGTGTTTCTGGATATATCTTTCACAAACTACTCGGCCACGAGGTTGCTGTCGCTCCCATGAAGACTAACCTACCTAAGAAGTTCAGCGTGCCGGGTCTTCCAGAGCTCAATAGCAGCCAGATTAGCGCCATCAAAAACGTCCTACTTACCCCCCTCAGCCTCATCCAAGGCCCCCCCGGAACTGGCAAGACGGTCACATCGGCAACCATTATTTATCACTTAGCGAAGATGAACAATGGCCAAGTCCTCGTGTGCGCGCCATCTAACGTGGCCGTGGACCAGCTCTGTGAACGAATCAATCTCACGGGGTTGAAGGTTGTCCGCCTTACAGCAAAGTCTCGTGAAGACGTCGAGTCTTCTGTTAGCTTTCTTGCGCTGCACGAACAAGTGCGCATGCTTGACACCAATCCTGATCTGATGAAACTCTCGCAGCTCAAGAACGAACTCGGCGAACTCTCAAGCCAGGATGAGAAGAAATTCAAGCAGTTGACCCGCGCTGCTGAGCGCGAGATTCTTAACAACGCGGACGTAGTTTGTTGTACATGTGTTGGAGCAGGAGACCCGCGCTTGGCTAAGATGAAATTTCGCAATGTCCTTATTGACGAGTCTACACAATCCGCCGAACCCGAGTGTATGATTCCTCTTGTTCTCGGTTGCAAGCAGGTCGTGCTCGTCGGTGATCACAAGCAGCTTGGGCCGGTGATCATGAACAAGAAAGCCGCCAAGGCTGGTCTAAACCAATCGCTCTTTGAACGTCTCGTCCGACTTGGTTTCACACCCATTCGGCTTAATATCCAATACCGAATGCATCCTTGTCTGTCCGAATTCCCATCGAACATGTTTTATGAGGGTTCTCTCCAGAACGGTGTTTCTGCTCCCAATCGGATCCGCAAGGATGTCGACTTTCCTTGGCCGGTTGCTGAAATGCCTATGATGTTCTGGTCTAATCTGGGTAATGAAGAGATCTCTGCGTCTGGAACCTCGTACCTCAATCGAACCGAAGCTTCCAATGTAGAAAAGATCGTGACGCGATTCTTCAAAGCTGGCGTACGACCTTCTGATATTGGTGTTATTACCCCATACGAAGGTCAACGTAGCTATATTGTTACTACGATGCAGAATACGGGTACTTTCAAGAAGGAGTCCTACAAGGAGGTCGAGGTTGCCTCGGTCGATGCTTTCCAGGGCCGTGAAAAGGACTTCATCGTCCTATCCTGTGTACGATCAAATGATAACCAAGGCATTGGTTTCCTTTCTGATCCCCGCCGAATGAATGTCGCCCTGACCCGTGCGAAGTATGGACTCGTCATTATCGGCAATCCAAAAGTCTTGTCCAAACACGAACTTTGGCACCACCTTCTAGTACACTTCAAGGAGCGTAAATGTCTCGTCGAGGGTCCTCTAACTAACTTGCAGACGTCTTTGCTTCAGTTTAGCCGACCTAAGAACATTTATCGCCCCCGTCCTCAGCAAGTTTCACACGTTTCTAGCGGACTTTCCAACGGTCGCTCGGCTGGATACAATGGCCATAATGCCAACCAAGACTTTGAGTCAAGTTCGATGCTTTCTTATATTCCTGATGATACTTCTAGCCTTCATAGTTCGGCCCTCGGTGGTGCCGGAATTGGTAATACTGCTTTTCCAACAATGTTTTCCAACTTTAATTCTGAACAATGGCCTGGCCTCCCAGGGTTTAATGCGACACCAGGTGGTCGTGTAGGAAGTAAGAGCAGGGGCCGAGGGACAGAGAGCATTGCTGGTGAAAGCGTTGCGACTTCGGAATTTACTGATGGCACTGCTAGCGTTATTGGTAGCAAAGGTGTAGGACAGGGTGGCGCCAGTCTTGGCGCCGGGCTTCCTGAAGCACTTCGTTCTCGACCTACATCCTACACCCAGAGCGATCGGCTGAAGCAGCATGTTACAGAGGGCTCTGGTTTTCCTGCTTTTTCGAATGGTTTCCGTCGCCGATATGATGACGACGAGAAGTCAGTCAGCACCGCCTTTGCTAGTCAAATTGGCGGTGGATTTGAGTGATTTGCATATGACAAGTGGATAACAATACCATCGTTTAGACGAGAGCAGGTATGCCTAACAGGCAAAGAGTCCTGGTGTCGTGCAGCTCTAGACGCTTAACTAGCAGTCATTCAACATGAGTTCTACGCTGGGACAGCTTGTGCCCTAGCACATGACAATCTGCAAACCTTGGAGCCCCCCTGCCCTTCTAGAGTTGCTACTCGCAGCTGATCTGATAGGAGCCGTTGAGCTTAAGCTACCGCCAATAGGCAATCCTATCAGGAGTCCATCCATGGACACTGCGATATGAGCCTCTGAGCTCACGGTTTTTGGTCCGATGGCGGAAGAGAGAGCGGAAGATATAACAGTCGCACGGCGAATTAGCCATGGGAATCACCAGCAACCAGCAACCAGCAACCAGCAACCACTACAAGCTTCGACGCTGAAAACTAGGACGGCCACTCCCAGCGAGAGCAAGTGGTGTTCATAATGCTCCACAACTAGGAATCACCTCAGGTTCAGTTTGTTCCTTGGAGCGTGAGAACTACTCCGTTCAATAGGACCCTGCTGCGACTGCGTCAGCTTCAGCATTCCATAAGTCTTTAAAGCTCGCTGCATTTGATTGATAAATTGAGTAAATGCTACCCGTTAATACAATACACATTCGTTTATCTAAGCTTCCTTTCTTTCACATATCGTGCGTGTTTATCTAGATACTGCATAGGTACCTAAGTAAATTCCATGATTAAATATACAATAACATGCACTTAGACAACTACCTATAGGATGTTGAATATACCCCCTAAGCTTGGCTAAGAGATTATAGAGGTGCATGTCTAATTTAGGGGGTACACGATCGGGTTGCAAAGACCACTAAAGACGGGGTGTAACCTTTGCTGAAACTCTAACCACGTGGCTGGGATATTGTGAATATCAATATACCTGAAACTTACCCAATTCATAAGGCCGGCCTATATAGTTGTAAGTGTTTAAGTAGTAACATGCATTTAATTATTTAATTTCTCGCGCGGGACAGTTGATAGTTTTTGAGAACCAATCTATTTGAGAGATATATAATGTGTAACCTGCAATGTGTAGGTATTGTACATGTATCTAGGTTAGGTAGGTATAAAACACAATAAAAGATCGACATTCCCGTAGGTACCTAAGGTACTAACCTACATCTCAAGGTAGACACTAGTGAGTGTAAGTTTAGGTGCATGATTCTACTGCGGATTGGGCGTTCAGGCAAATACCTGTGTAAATACTTACATAAAGCTAGCAAATACCTACCTGCATAAGGTACCACACAAGCTCATTCTGGGTACTGGTCATTGATACATCCATTCATGACCCACGACGTAAACTGCGCCTTCTTGAGTTTCAGCATCAACTCCTCCTTCTTTCACAAGACACAATCATCGACATTTCTTACCTTTATCCTTCCTTTCTGGCTGGGCACAGAAAACTCAGTATCAAAAAAGAACATATTCAGCACTTATCATCATCGCAACAATAAGCCACATCAATTACCCCTGCATAGTTCCTGCATGGGCCGATTTTGATCGAGACCCAACCCTCGTAATTCATGTCATACAAGCCCTCAAGCATAATAAACTCAGAGCAAGCAACCATAATCCAATAAATTTCTCGGTGCGAGCCGTTACCCTGGAACCTATCTACTATGACAAGTGACAAGATGCCGCGGCCACTTTCCGTTGCCAAAGGCGAGCCAACCGCGACGGTGGTTTCTACCCCGGACGCATCGAATAAATCAGATACGGCACATAAGACAACCTTAACCCAGAGCGCCAAGCCTATCTTGATGCCAGATACATCTATCGCAACTACCAAGGATAACGACTCGATAACACAGCCTAGGGTTTCGATGAACGTCGAAGAATTTCAGGGTGAAGTCCAAACTACGAACGAATTGCCAACAATTGAGACGCTACGCAAAATAGAGGCATACAATGTTCTCGATAGTGATGGAAAGTCGCATAGTTTCAAGAGTCTCTATGGCGGCCGCAATTCTGCCCGCCGAGTGCTCATAATATTTATTCGGCATTTTTTCTGTGGTGTACGTTGCTAATGCTTCCGTTTGCACCGGCATGGGCTAAGACGTTCTATGCTGACCGACATGTCACAGAACTGCCAGGAATATTTACGCACGCTTTCGGCCTCGGTTACTCCCGAGGCGCTTTTGCAGTTACCAGTCAGCACCTTCATCGCCGTAATAGGGTGCGGCTCCCCACATCTAATCAACTCGTACATCCAAGAGACCGGCTGTCCTTTCCCGGTATATGCTGATCCAACCCGTCGCCTGTATACTGAACTTGGAATGGTGCGCACCTTAGCAATGGGCTCGCGACCAGCCTATATGCAAGGGAAAACGCTGGCACATACTGTCGTCTCTGGTGTAGTCCAGGGTTTGAAGCAAGTGAAATCAGGCTTGGTGACGAAGATGGGTGACCAGAAACAAGTTGGCGGGGAGTTCCTTTTCGAACCCGCAACCCTAACACTAGACACTCCCGTCACGACGCCGCGTAGCGAAGAGGACAAGCAGCTGAGGCTTTCAGAAGAGAAATCAGACGACCATGAAGACCCCAAGGTAGAGGAAAAGCGCGTCACATGGTGCCATCGAATGCGGACAACCCGAGATCATGCCGAGATCCCCGAGCTAATGGAGGTACTCGGTTTAGATGGCACCGGTGCTCCTATCAAAGATAAGAAGAGATGGGATAAGGCCTTGAGGACGAGGAAGGGCACCGGCTTAAGCATGGCCAGCCAAATGAGCCGATTGAGTGTTGATACTACTCACACCAATAATAACGGCAGTATAAAGGCAAATGAGCCTCCCTCCTGACTACCAAATTGTCGAACGGCATCACTGGATGCGATATGAATGAACACGTTTCTATTCCATCTAATCAATTCTTTTGGAAGATGTCTTCCAATCTACAGTTTGGGGAGTACTACCAAGGCATTCGATTATCGAAACACGATGCGGTCGCCTTTATCAGTATGTCTGGTTTGAGATTAATGAGTTACGTGGTGTTCTCTACATCGGCGGTTTTCAAAATTTATAACTTGAATAATTCGCATATATCGAATTTGTTTCTATGGTCGTGAGAGATTAGCAGGAGTCACAGGCAGAATTCCATGGTGATGGCTGTAGGTACATATGTAGGCTTTGGGTAACGTCATGAACCCAGCTATAGTAACATGGAAGCAGATTAGTTTACAAGCTTAATGTAAGTCGCTATCATTTTCACATGAGCAGTAAATCAAATATAATGCCATATTACATACCTTAGGTACTTGTGCTGGCTACGCAAGCTCGCCTGTCGCACCCTAACAGCACAAATACCTAAGGTACCTATGTTCTAAAGGGCTCCCCTTCCACATGCAAGAGGCCAAGTATCTACCTAAGTATTGACATTAAAGGGGTTATGTGCAACCTAGAATTATGTAAGCGACAAGTGAGTTTAGGTAGTTGCAGTCCACAAATTCGTCTATCGCTACATTTATTTGAATAGATTCTTTCATTATGCTTAACTTATTCCTCATTCTATCATATCATGACAGAGCAATGCCACATATCCAGCAAAAACAAGTCTTTATGTTCTAGTCCGCGAAACAATCAGGTTCGCCAAATCCGTCACGTTTGCACTCGTCAGCAACTCTAGAATCTCCAGGGTTGCACCAAGTTCCCTGGTAATCCAGTTGCGCACTTCAATAGCAGTCAGAGAATCTAGACCATACGATGCCATACTCCGCAGAGCATCCACATCGTCGTGTGCCACGGACAGTACCTCCGATAGTTTCTGCAGCACCCCTTGTACGGCAATTTGGCGGGCCTCCTCATTGTTGGCTGCAGCGCGGAATGCGTTCCTGTACGAGACGACCTGTCCAGAATCGCTACCCGCAGCTCGTATCTCCTCTACTGCTGCCGCTTTAAGGTGTGCGAATCGTGGGTCCTCTGCATAGTAAGGTAGAGCATTTGTATTACTTGGAACAAGCTTCAAACCCGTCAGGCACTGCGTGCCGCATTTACTGGATATAGCGACCGCCAGAAGCCCTAATACTTCAGCTTTGGAAATGGACTGTCCACCAAAGTTCTTGATAATCTCTTCCTCTCGCGCTGAGTTTTCGGAAATGTAGCCAGCGTCGGTCACAGCTGTAAGGTCAAGGGATACTCCTGGCAGGCCTTGTGCTACCCTGCATGAGGCAAATCCATCCAGAAATGTGTTGGCTGCAGCATATGCGGCTTGACCACGACTACCGACAATGCCTGCAGCGCTTGACAAGAGCACGAAATAGTCCAAACGTGTGTTAGTAGACTCGAGTGCGTTGTGGATATTCCAAGTCCCTTTAACTTTAGCATGAATCGCCGACACGTACGAGTCGTGGGTCATGCCTTCGATCAACCCGTCCTAATACAACGATTAGATACCCTTTTCTTAATGTGGGCTCGACTGAGAATCCGCCATCAAATAAGACAAAACTTACGTGGAGCATCATAGCAGCATGGATCACACCGCATATCGGCGGGAGTGTCTCGGTGCATTCCTTTACAATCTGACAGACATTGTCCTCGCTAGCAATGTCACATGTCTTCACGACGATATTGGCCTTGTCTTGAGTATCATCAATAAGTTGTCGCAGTTCATCGACATTCCCTCCACTCCTCGATAGCAATACGATGTTTCGAGCACCGTGTTCTACCATCCATCTAGCTGTACTTCGCCCTAAACCACCAGTACCGCCAACTATGACGTGAGTCCCGTCGGGATTCAAGAAACGCCTTGAAGCATAGTGCATTGCCTGACGGAAGCGTTAGTAGTTTACTACCTAGGTAATGAACCGCGACGGATATGATAACTTACCATTACCTTCTCACTATTCTGAGCAGAAATGATAATAGGATGTAAGGTGCCTTGTTGAATCATTCGCAAGCCCCGACCCAACTCTGTGATTCGCAATGTAACCATTTTCTTTAGTGGCCTGAAGACACCTCTGGAGAAGCATTCTAGTACGTCTCTAAGGATGTCTCTCATAAGACGCGGGCGTGTAACTGTTAGTTCCACTAGATTGATCGATGTGAAGCTCACGTTCTCAGTAAGGTCAGCTCTGGTATTCCAATTGCCAATACGAGCATGAAGTGTCCCCTGCATATGGACAATACGTCCGAACTGTGCAGTATTTTCCCATACCCTGCTCAGGTTCTGAGTTACCGCTGGGAAACTGGACGAACTAGTGAAGACGACATCCATACCAAACCCACTGGAAGCTTTGCGTATTTCACGATCGAAATAGAGGCTGGTTGTATCGAAAATCTTCTCCGGTCTAATACCAAAAGACTTTGCAACAAAATCTCTTCGTTCACTGCCATGAACCGCAACAAACACATCAGCACCAAGGTAATTTGCAACTTGTATTGCTGCAAGCCCTTCGGAACCGCTTATTTGGATAAGAACGCGGTCTGATTTTCGAACGCGTGCGACTTGGGAGAGTCCGTAAAAGGCCGCACCGAAGGCAGATGGGATTATTGCTGCATCCTCAAAGCTTATGCCCTGAGGAATCTTAACGACGCTACTTGCTGCTACGCAGGCATGCGTACCCATCCGGTCACTGCTTAGGACGCAGACCAGGTCTCCAACACTGATGTCGATAACATCGCACCCAACACGAACGACAACGCCGCTGCATGACCTTTCAGGCCTTGCAGACTCATTTATGTCAGCGTGCACGATTACATCATCCTGGCTAATTCCGCTGGCTTTAATCTCAACCTCGACTTGGTCGTCATCCAAAACTTCGCTTCTTATGGCGTCTTCAAAGTGTAGATTGTCAAAGGAACCCTCAGTGTGTATAGCCACTCGTAACCAACGTCCAGGTTGACGGAATTCTTGTAAATAAGGCTCGGAATTTCCTAGCTCGCGGTGAACTCGTAAGTTCATATCGTCATCGACAATAAAACGCGGCACGACTAAGTCTCCGCATTGCTCCGCGAATTCAACCTCAGCTTTAGGACTGTCTGCAAGAACGGTTCTCCGAAAAGCATCCTCAATTAGTTCAGCCTGGCCCTCAATATCTAGAGTGCTGTCTGGGTCAAGGTCTAAAGTGACGGCAATTTTGCCAAGCTCGGAGCGTGCTGTACGAAGTAGACCCAATGCCATATTCGTGCTTGGGTTCGTAGGCACTTTTGATGCGCCACAAGTCACCCATAATATTCCACCTGCTTTTATTAAAAGGGATTGGACTTGTTCGAATTCGGTCTTGTTTACTGAGGCTAGGACGGGACGATCAAGTTCTGAGAGAACTACGAAGAAGCCACTAAAATCTCTAACATGGAGCAAGCTTGAAATGTTCGGGACAATCCCGGAGTGCAGCTTGATGACATCGCATAGTGAGGCCACAAGTGTATCGTCTTGGGTACGCTCTGTCACAACCGTCACACGCTCTCCGTGGGACCGAAGGTGCGCATGGCTCACACCATTAGCATGACGTTCCTCGGTCTGCTCCCATTGGATCTTGTAGCATAGTTCTCTAGGGTTGGGCGGTTTGCATATTACAGTCTTGAGCGGAGTGAGCTCCAATCCCAGTATAGAGATGGAGGGGAACTCACTATTCGCTGGCGCAAACAGCTCGGCCAATAGTGGCCCAGACTCTCCGTTTCTCATCGACTGAACGATGAACTTGGATCCGGGAGTCCTCTCCCACTCGTCGGTGATATTGATACGCACCTGTTTGATGGCAGATGGCAGTTGCGGACTTGCCATTCCATTGAATCCCAACTCGGCTTGCGATATCTGGAAAAGGGGTTCTATCGTAGCGGGATGGGTCAAATACAAAGATTCGTACGCTAATGGCATGATGAGTTTTGAGTCCTGGAGGGCACCTTGAGCGCTGACCCCGGACTCGTCCATATTAACACTCACTAAGTTCCAAAAAGTATGCGGATAGCTGATACCTCCGGCACTCAAGTTAAAATAGAAGCCCGCCGCGGGTATTGATACCTGATTCTTTTCCGGTTGAACGTTGAAGTACGAATTGGAACAAGCAGCTACTTCAATATGGGTTTGCAGAGGTTTTGCTCCAACGAGACCATGACAATGTTCTAACCATCCTCGTTTTGGGTTAAAACTGGAAATCCTAAATCCGTCCCAGTCGAGTTGAGACATTCCATGTGGCCTAAAGACTAGTACGAGTTCAACCGGCTCATCATCCGCCAGAAATAGTTGTTCTGGAATGGATATATCACGCAGATCGAAACTATCTGCTTCGAAACCCCTGAGTGCTGCTCGCTGACTGGCCGCCTCTACAACCATAGAGATGAAGGCTGAGACGGGAAATACAGGACGGTTCTGTATTTGGTACTCACGTAGCCATGGTAGCTCCTCTAACCTTATGAAATTGCGCCATGTTGGCTCTAAGTCGCTACTCCAGTCAGCTAGCGTCCCAATCAGATCATGTCGTGCAAACGGTTTAAGTCGGTGTTGTCGCGTGATTCGACTCTCATACCAGCAACGCTGATGTGACCACGGATATGTATAGAGGAAGGGTATAATATCAGGCTTCTCGATCTCGGAGCGGTTATGATTGATATTGAAGAAATCGATACCTTCATAACCGCGCACGAAGAGCTGGCCAGCAAGCTCTAGGGTCGTCTCAGTAGCATCACGACCTCGTATAAGAGTCGGGATATACGTTGGGGTCTTGGAAGCTGACAGCTGCATCGTCTTTAAAGTCTGCATAATCGGACCTTTCAGCGCTGCATGCGGACCAATCTCGATGAGAACGTCTGGCTCGCTCTCCTCGCAGAGTACACGCAACGCAGTCGTAAAGCGTACTGGGTTGGTCAAATTCTCTACCCAGTACTGCGGGCCAAGCTCGTCCATGTTAACCTTGCGGGAGCGAAGAGAAGAGAAGAACTCCACGTCTCCATTCGGTTTCCTCAGCTCAACGCCTGCGATCATATTGTGGTATATCTCGGCTATCAATTTCATATGCGGACTATGGTAAGCAACATCGATGAAGAGCTTGCGGTTGAAGATTTGCTTTCCTGTCATAATATTGGAAAGTTCGTCGATAGCCTCGGTGTCGCCCGAGACGGTTGTCGAGGTGGGAGAATTTTCGCAAGCTGCTACCGCCTGAAGCGGATGCCGTAGCTGTTTAAAAAGGGGCTGTAGCTCGTTGGCGCCCATACTCACCGCCATCATTGAGCCTTTGACATCTGGAAAGTTCTCCTTCAAACCAATGATAGCTTGGCCACGATAATATGCTGCCGACATTGCCGCCTCAAGTGTTAGAGCCCCGGCTGCATATGCGGCGCCAATCTCCCCGCTTGAATGGCCCGTAACTGCAGAGGGCTTAATCCCCCATGATGCCAGCAGGTCGACCAGTCCGATTTGGATGGCACTGCAAATCGGTTGACTAATATGAGCCATACCTACACGAGAATTATCTTCATCCCGGGTCAGCTCCTCCATCAGCGAGAAATCAGCACCAATAGATAGAAGATGCTTGTCTGCTTGTTGAATAGCAGACGCGAACACAGAATGAGACTCCAGTAACTCTCTACCCATAGCAAACCATTGCGCCCCTTGCCCTGTAAATATGAAGGCTAGTTTTGGCGACTTGGTAGGCGCGCGCTTTGGTATCACTTCAGGACTATTGAGGGCTATTGCTAATTTGCTGCACATATCGGCTACTAGAGCTATGCGCCATGGCAATTGTGAACGCCGCTGGCATAATGTGTCTAATGGCAGGTCAGCATGCCTATTTTCTTGGATATTGGTTAATATCAAAACTCACATGCCAAATTCCGAGGCATAGTGCTTTGATAAAGCTCAGCATGCTGTTCGAGGAAAATTCCTAGCTGTTCCATACTTTTTCTCGCGGCCACCTCATCATTGGCGCTCAATATGAATAAACGCTTCATCTTAATATGGCCTTCGAACTTTTCGGGATCCAGGAATTCGATTTCGTTTTCTGCCGGTAAGGCTTCAAGAACTGCGTGTCCGTTTGACCCGCTATAACCGAAGTTGTTGACACAGATATACTTCTTATTTCGAGGGAATGGCTGTTGTCTTTGTGGGAGCTGAATATTTGAGGTCAGTACTATCCCTGTTCACCCAATTATAATAAGGCTTCGAAGAGCATTTAATGAGTAAAACTGACTTTCAAGTTCCATTCCGACAATGGGATTGCTGGATTTTCCTTCTCAAAGTCGGCGTTTGGTACGATAAACCCCTTTTCCAGCATGAGCGCGGCCTTCATGATCGATATAACACCGCTAGCGTTTTCGAGGTGGCCAATATTGGATTTAACCGATCCGATAGTTAATGGTTCGCTACTATCTAGGCTTTGACCAAGTGCTTTATAGATACCTCTGGCTTCAATAGGGTCCCCGACCTTAGTACCTGTTCCATGAGCCTCGAAGAATCCGACATCCTTAGCATCGATTTTGGCTTGAGAGAGAACATTACGTAGTAACGATTCCTGCTCTTCCGAGCTGGGTGCTACAATGCCTTCAGATATTCTGTGTAAGTCTTCTGATAGTAAGATAGTTAGGGCTGGCATACATACCGACGGTTCGGCCGTTGTGGCTGATTCCCGTATGGGAGATGACGGCCCTTACGTAGTCTCTATCCTCTAGAGCTTTATGTAGGGGCTTGAGGATGAGGCACCCTGCCCCCTCACCTCTTGCGTATCCGGACTTTGCACGATGGTCAAACGCATAAGTTTTCCCCGAGTCCGCAAATAATCTGCATCATTTAAGTTAACTGGTTATTCAAAATTCGGGAAGACGGTCTGACTCGCCTTAATTTTGCCATGGATACCCAGACGTCGGGTTGTGTGATCAGATGAGAAGCCCCAACTATAGCTTGTTCCGACTCCCCCAACCGTATGCTCTGAACAGCCATGTGTAGCGCATGCATACTGGATGAGCAAGCTGTGTCAACGGTAAATGTAGGCCCGCATAAGTTGAAGAAGTATGATATTCGCCCAGCAAGAAATGCCCCTTGGCTACCGGTAGGATCGAACATTGGCGAATCATCTAAATCCCTGAGATTTCCCATCCTATGTTCATTATCGGGACCACCAATGAAGACACCAACTTTCCGACCCGAGATGGACTCCTTAGGAATGCCAGCATTCTCGAGGGCCTCGTACGAACATTCGAGGAGGAGACGCTGCGTGGGATCTTACGTACGGTCAGCTTTTCAACGCGGTCAATTTGGAAGATGATGTGTACCCATTGTCTCCGCTTCCTTGCGCGTCATGTCAAAGAAACCAGGGTCGAACATCTCGAGGTTCTGGGATAAGAAATATCCTCCTTGCGAGTTGATGGTACCCTTCTTCTCTGGGTTGGGATGATTATAAGCCTCCTGGTTGAATCGATCTCGGGGTATCTTGGACCACGCGCTGCGCCCTTTAGTTAGTAGCTTCCAGAAGTCTCCCGGCGAAGATACATCGCCAGGTAGACGGCACGACATGCCGACTATGGCAACGGGCATTAACTCCTCTGACTCCATGTTGGTACGTGAGAAAGAAGGTAGAGCGGTGCCAAGGAGTATTGACTGGAGAAGATCAAGAGATTTAGAATGGTTCGAATCGAAAGTGCCAGAAGTTAGGTATTTCAACAAGCGAGCAATCTCATTTCGATTGCGACCCAGGCACAATTCGGATATTCCGAAAGCATCTCCTAACCATTGATTGGGTTGAGTTTACATAGCGTATTCTTCTAAACTCTTCCAAAAACCCAGCGGTCGAACGGACAATAAGATCGGTACTCCAGCTGATGGCAATTTTCCCATTTGGGACGAACGGCCTCGTATATCAGAATCAGGTCCGATGCCCTGAGGCTTTAACCGAGTCGCTTTTGGCTTCAACTTGATACAGCTACATAGTCGGCTTAAAGAATAACTTATTTTATGATAAGCTGGCTTTTGCCCACCATATACAAGAATTAACGGTAGTAAACGCCTTCATTACATGGTTCTTTCAAGCTATCTTGGCCCCTTTCACGGTAAGTTAGCCGTTGTGTCTCGGGAATGCCCCTATTAGGTGACTGAACTCTATGTAACGGAATATCTTAAATAGACCACCACTACAAACGTCGCAGTATATATCATCACAGAGTTTTATAAAGTTCAAGTTCTGCCAGTGCGGCACGTCGAGAACTTAGTATCTTACAGCTCAGCTACGCAGGAATAAGAAACATGCTTCAGACAACTCTGGACGAGTGTCGGAAGTCCGTGGACAGATCGTCGCAACCTCCAGCCCGTACGAAGTAGCCTGTCGATCACAGGCTAGCGGCCCTTGTTTGAACTACAGCATGATTGCTTAGCGACAGCTCGAAGTTTGACGGCCGTACGGATAGGAGTATCTTCGCATGACTGGCACATGAGGAGAATGTTCGCGAAACTTATCTCCCAAACGGTGCAATATATCCACCACATATCCTGCACCTTGACATACATCAATCTCTCTCGAAGGGTGTAGGCCAACAAGGGTGTAAGCATAGGATATTATAGACAACCACCATAGATGCTATCAACAAGACACCCAACATGGCTATCACTTTATGTGAGTTTACGGGTGGTCCCCACGAGCGGCGAGACGGCCTTGGAAGGTGGCCGTCCAACGGCAGTCTTGAGAATATTTCCGGATACGATGCTCACTCAAGCAGCAATATATATCATCAACAGGCGTACGCCATCCGGACCTACGAAAGGCGTAGCTCGCTTACCCCATCGATAGCCTAGCAGAAGAATAGCTAAGACGCGCGTCTCTTCCAGCAGAACACGTCGTCAACCGTACTTTGGTAAATTTTGTTGGACGAATCAGGCTGAAAAGAAGCTCGGGTAAAGAGAAAATAAAGATACGAATCAGATACGAATCAGATACGAATCCACTTACACTCTTCGTCATCATGAAGTTCCTCTGCCTGCCCGGCGCATACGGCAGCGCCAAGGTACGTAAACCTCTCCCTATGTTAGGTACCTAACCTAGGTCCTATCTAGCAGCCGTCGTCTCGCCGGCGTACTAACTATAACAACGCGTAGAACTTCGGCGTCCAGCTGGGGCCCTTCGCCAAGCACATGGAGGACCGGGGCCTAGCGACCTTCGCCTTCACGCAGGGCGCGCACGAGGTAGAGCCGCCGTTAGGGTGGGAGAACTACTTCGGGTCGCGCCCGCTATACAGATTCGTCGAGGCGGCGGCCGGCGCGGGCGATGCGTTCGAAGTCGTGCGCCGCGTCCGCCATATCCCGCGCGGTCTGACCCCCGAAGCTACGATTCGGCTGTTCAAGCCGCCGCGCCCCGTTGCGTACGACTGGCGCACCTTTCGCAAAACCCTGGATGACCTGTTTGAGACCATCGAGGCAGATGGCGAGATTGATGGGCTGATTGGGTACTCGGAGGGCGCGATGATGGCCGCGTCGATTTGTGCCGAGGAGAATAGGCGGTGGGAGGAGAGGGGGGTGCCTAGGCGTATTAAGGTGGGTTTCTTTTTTTACTTTCCTTTACTTTTACTTCACTTCCTCTCTTCTCTTCTCTTCCCTAACAAAATCCCCTCGCAGTTCGCCATATTCTTCGCCGGCACGCCCCCCCTAGTCGCTGAAGGCGACGGCTTCGTGGCGCGCCTAGCAGACGAGCACGGGACGTCCATCTCGATCCCGACGTTCCACGTGTTCGGGTCCAACGACCCGCTAGTATACTCGTCCGTCGCGCTGTACAACGCGTGCGACCAGGACACGGCGCAGCTGTACGACCACGGGCTGGGCCACCTCGTGCCGCGCGACACCGACAACGTCGAGCAGCTGGGCGACGTGCTCGCCGACGTTATTACTCGCATTAACAAGGAGAGTGAGAAAGAAAAGGCTGCCGCTGCTGCTGGGTCTGAGGCTGAGGCTGAGGCTGAGTCTGTATCCGCGTCTGATACCGAGCCCTCTGCTGACGAATACGCCGACGAGTCCTCCGCTACTGGCCCCTCGTCTGCCGCGTCTAGCGACGAGTCGTCGGATCTGGATTCGCGCTCTAGCAATGGTGTTGGGTCTGAGGGGGGAATTGCTAAGGTTTAAGGGGGCTTGCTTGGGAAATCCACACGGGAGGCAACTCGCCGGGTTCTTACTGTCTCCCCCAAACTCGAATATATCTGGTGGTGCGCTTGGTTTCGCGATCTTTGGAATTTAGTATACACCCTCGTGTTTTAGAAATTTGTTAGTTTTAAGATTACCCCTATTTCCCCAATCAGTAGTTTCGTTTACTACCTACCTACCTATGCATTACACATACAATACTGGCAACGGGGACGTGAAAGGATATTTTAGTAAATGGGTTATATATTTTGGTTCGCCTGATATACTTATCATCCCAGAAAGTCGTAGCACCCATGAACTCTCATTAAACCGTCACCGAAACCTGATTCCGATTCCCCTAGTAGTCGCAGGTCTCTCCCCTCTAGTGTATAAAGGGGCGACGACCCGCAATCGCTAGCCCCCTTTTTATAGAACAACTGACCCTAACCAATACCGTGCGTGCGTGCGGGTGTGGTGTGACGACAAAGCCCGGCCGCCTCAACTCATATGACATTGCATAGCCGGGCCCTTTTTCTTTTCTTTTGACAACAAGGAGAGGGAGGTATTAATTATGTACAATACTGGGTACAGTGAGCAGGACGACGGCGGCAAATTACTAAGGATTCGTCGTTCGGAGGTTTAGGTTCTCGAGGTCTCGGAGTAAAGGTAGTAAAGGTACCTACGTATGCACACCTCCAGGCGCTTTTAGTAGTGGTTTCGTAGGAAGCCGAAATATGATTTGCCCAACTTCCAAAACATTTCCTAGAAAATCCGGGGTGAGTAGAGTCGCTCCGTGATACCCTTTGGTGTAAAAGGATGCGTATATTAACTGCTCAATGCTATGATCTAGCGGGCGCCCGCGAATGCGCCGGGCCCCATGCTGGCAGCACCCGTGCCCATTCCTTGGAGCTTAGCCGCTAATTGAGGATACTTTTCTTGGACTTGAATCTGTGTCCGCGTAGCTTCGGCGTATGAAAGCGCATTGACGATCTCCCCAGGTGTCCTAGCAAGCTCAGCCGCACGTTCAAAGTACCTAAGCGCCTCCGTGATCTTGCCCTGTTGAAGGAGAAGTTGCGCCATTGTAGCAACGGCAATATCGCACTCGGGATCAACTATAGCCAATTAGCAATCTTATTTTTATCTGATCTTTTAAAGTGCTCTTACTGATTAGCGCCTTCTCGCATAACTTCTCTGCTTCCGTAAATTCGGCCTTCTGTTGGAAGAGAGCCAGGGCCTTGTTGATAAGGGGTAATACGTTCATCGCCAAGGGCTTCGTCTGCTTTTCCATCTCCATAGCGGTGTCGAATTTCTTGATAGCTTCGTCATACTTGCTTTGGTCAAGGAGGAGCTCTCCGTAGTAGTTATATACGTCAGGTACCTTGTCAAAGTTCTTAACACACCGACGGAACGTCGCCATAGAGGACGCCACAGAGCCCATCTTGTATTGCGTTACACCAAGCTGAATGTGTGAGAATATGAAGGAAGAGTCAAGGTCGATTGACTTTTGGTAATCCTTAGCAGCATCTTGAAATTCGCCATGGATAAAGTGCAACTGCGCACGGTGGTAATAGATGTCTGGATCGCTATCGTTTTGGCTCAAAGCCTGCTCTAGGTCTGCGGCAGCACTGGCTCGGTCACCTGCAACCAGATCAGTTTTAAGTCACTTTCCGCGATACGTAACACCGGTTACTTACCCATTTCCAGGTGCATGCTTGCACGCTTGACGTAGCTTTGAGTGTACGACGGATCGAGCTCAATACTCTTGTCCATATCCTGCAAAGCTTCCTCTTGCGCTCCACGTAGATTTCTAAATGTACCCCGCAGGTTGTAAGCAAGTGCCTCGTGATTATCTAGATCGCCAAGTTCCAGAGCCTTTTCGAACGCATTTGCGGCTTCTTCATAACCTTCGTGAGTTTTCTTCTCCATAGCTTTCAGTCCGATTTGCAGCTGCCCTTTTCCAGTCGATTCCGGCACCTCCACGTCGTCCTCTAAACCCTCGGGGCGCGGCTTCGCTCGGAAGCTCTGAATATAGTTGGAGACGAAGGTGGGGCTGGGTAGCTTGTTGGGATCCTTAGACTTCATGATTTCCTCGGCCTTCTGCTCGGCAACCTTCTTCAGCAATCGTTCGACAGCGTTAGTACTGGATTCGGTCTTGAACTCGTCGATAATGCAGCTAGCGGTGTAATCGAGGAGCGATTCGCTGAACTGAGATAGGTGTTCGTAAGCATTGGCTCTTCGGTTTAGAGCTTTTACATATGTCGGGTCGAGGCTGATAGCGGCGGTCGTGTCTTCGACGACCTTGTCCCAGACAGATTGGGCGTTGTAGCAGGCAGCCCTGTTAGAATAAAAGATGGAGTCTGGTTTGCAGAGGATAGCCTTGGAGTAGAGATCGATAGCTCTGTCATAGTCTTTACTGCCATAAGCTTTGTTTCCAGCGTTCTTTAACTGCAGGGCATAGTCGCGGCGCTGCTCGTCGGTGAAGGTACCGACAGTGGTCTCGTTGATCTCGGGTAATTCATCGGCGACTTCTACTGTTGGGGTCTTCGCTTGTTCACCTGCCGGGACAGTTCTAGATGCTTCGGCCTGGCGCTCTGCCTCCTTTCGTTTCCGCCTCTCCTTCTTGCTGGGTTTACTTTGCGAAGCAGACCTCGACTTTTGCTTAGTAGTAATGTGAGCTAGCTATCATGGCCAAGAAAAAGAAATTATGAAAAAGGTATTATGAAAAAGAAATTATGCCAAAAGAAAAATAACTTACAGCATCGCCATTAAGATAGTAGACTACACCAGCGCTAGTGACGACAACAGCTACACCAGCAATGGTATAGACAAGCGCTTTGTTCTCGGATGCCCAATTGGTAAAGCGGTCCCAAAGGGAGGGCTCTACGGGGATAGCAATGGGTTGGGCTATGGGAGGCATCGGCGGCGGAGCTGCGGAAGCACGAGACATTACGGTGGAATCGGACGGATGTTGTCGATTTTGATTTCGAGGTGGGGAACAAGTGCGGCAACCAGGGTGACAAGGAAAAAAGGTGACTTGATAAGTCTTGGTCGCGAAGTTGGTCGAGTCACAGGACACAACAGACACAGGGTCGAGAATGATAATATGTAGTGATGACGATTTGTTAATGTATTTTGGTTGCGGATAGCTGTGCAAGAAGCTTTAATCAAAGTCCAGTAAGTTGTTATTATTATTATTACCGATCAAAAATACTTTGCAAGCGCAAAAAAAAAAGTTTACTTTACTTCGTACAACAAGTACATAGTATCTTTTAGTGTGACCCAATTTAACATGCGCTGTGCTCTGAAAGCTTCGACCCTGGTTGGCCCACAATCACTTCGTCATCAATGATCAATGATCAATGCCATCAATCGGAGAGCTCCATATATGTAAACAGCGACAGCCCACCCCTCCTGCCCTCCTAGGTATTGTACAATACAAAGTACTTAACTATCCCAAAGCACTTCCAAGGTTCAATGTCTTATATGAGGTAGGTACATACCTACCTAGGGAGGTACCTACATAAGGTACTGCAGAGTACCTGACGTACGCGCTACCTACATGTACATACATGCTCAACCTAGCGCCCTCGTGTCTAAACGCCCACTACGTATGTATGTACATACGTGTACCCACCGCATTCGTTATCCCGGGAGATATATCTTATTAGTGCCGTGTACTCGGTAAGTATACACGATATTAACATCCACTAAGCTTCTTGCATAAGCCAACGTGGACCTACATGTATGTAGTACATGTATGTATCTAATACCTTAGTTATGTATTTAGCATTTACATTACATTATGTAGTTATACCCAGTACATATGTAAGTATTTGATAACTTCACCCAAGCTTGAAGATCGCAAACGAGGCAGCAGACTATATACGATGGACGATTTTCGGATCTTCACATCTATACGATATGATCCTACTCTTTTAAAAGCCCCAGAATTAGGATATGTCAATACCGGATGGAATCAGAAGTCTTCCCCCTTCTATATGCTTGACTTACACCGAGACCGCATGCTAAGAGCTGCCGTCTACTGGCAATGGTCAGCCGCAGTCGCCGTCGTTTCTGGCGAAGAAGGCTTGGAGAACCTGCAAAGGTTTCTTCAGGGCATTACTAGCGGAATTGGCAACAGCCCGCATCGAATAATGCTTAGCCTAGCTCGGGACGGGACTCTAGATTATCAAACCTCTCCTCTTCCAGAGACACATCTGAATAACCTATATCCAGAATATCTACCGAGCATAGATCGTAAAGACTTAGCCGAAGGAGGAGATGACAAGGTTCCAATCAAGGATCCTACATACGACATCTTCCTCGATAGTCAGAAGACTTCAAAATCCGAGTTCACTCATTATAAAACTACTTTCAGAGACATGTATAATGATGCAAGGAGACGGGCTCAAATAAAGCTGGGCGATAGGAAAGAAGTGCTCCTCGTCAACGATGATGGGCATATTATGGAGGGTAGTATTAGTACCCCCTATTTCTGGAGAGGCGGAAAATGGGTCACTCCTCCTATTCCCACTCAATATCGCGTTTCTGAAGGGAGCGGTGGAAATAACGGCACAACAAGAAGATGGGCTTTAGAGAGGTAAATCTTAACTCGCCAACCCTTAGCATTAGTCTAAATATTAAGCAGTTAATGCTAATCGGAACAGGAATCTCGTTGTCGAGCAAGTCGTTCTTGCAGATTCGCTAGTCAACGGCGAAGAATGCTGGATAAGTAACGGTCTTCGAGGGTTCATTTTTGGAAGAGTGATGCTATAATGAATCATAATTCTTATTATAGACTATCTAGGCGATCTATTCGATATAACTAGATAGAGATATCTTAAGAAGGTAGAGACAAACCTTCAAATATATTATTATATCTATAACAATCTGCTAGACGAGGTTCTTGAGGAAATGGCATTTAAAAATGTATGTCTCGCTTTTATAACTTTTGTTTATTGGCAAAGATAGGTAAGTACTAACATAGGTATATGTAGACATCGAAAGAAATGCGCAGGTGGTATACGAAAGATGAAACTATAGGTGGCACCCTGACACTTGACATACTATTGAAAGATTCTCAAGGAATAGTTGCCTACCTAAGGCATTAATTTCCGCAGTGGCATCCTTCAAATGTCATCTGTTAAAAGTTTGCTCCTGTGCAGCTGAGCCTCAATCGCGTTTAATATAACTCTGTCACTTACCACCTAGTACAAAGTTTCACACATTCGGCAAAGAGTCGAGCTCTAACTTGTACATAATAATATAAGGAAGGATATAGTTATAGAGGTAATAGAATCCCGATGGTGGTCTTCTTATTAGAATCATTCATGTAAATATATACTCCTATTTAGAAGGCTAGAGCTATAGCAAGGTGGTGCTCGTGGAAGGAGTTCCCTCAAGGAACTACTCCAGTGAATACTCTTTACCACGCTGTATATCATCGAGCAGGTGCTCTGAACATTACGAACACGAAACAAACTGTATCACGTAGTCTCAATTCCATGTTTCACCGTTGCTTCCTCTCGGTATAGTATGCAAGAGCGAAGTTGACAGCCGCCGACCATTTAAGATGGACATACGACCTCATCAACTAACCTTATGATTTTCTCTATCATTCTCTATTTTCCTCATTTGACACATACACATCGCAAAATACCTAATCATCACCTATATTTTAATCAGCATATACCTAGTAATTCCATTCCGTGTAGAAGACCATCTGGTGTCAACAGTATTCAACAGCACTCGATTATACCAACTGAAAGCCACGATGAACGCCCTTTATGCTGTTCAGAACAAGGTCAGGCAGGATCTTGGCCTCTCTAAGATCAAAGTTATCCACAACCAGAATTACAAGCGTCATGGCACCAAGTCCTACGTTCATGCATTGAACCGTTTCGGGTTTCAACCTACTTTACCAGGCCCCTATTTCCATATCGACAAAGTCAGACAGCATGGCCTTCTCCCTGAAGAGCTCAAGGGAGCCCTTGGTGGCACTGTGCATACACAGAGAACCCTGGTCAAGAAAGACAAACCTGAAGACGGCGATCAGACTACAGAAGTTACTGCAGAGGATCAACAAAACGACTCGATGTATATCTGCGAAGTTAAAATCGGCACTCCACCCCAGAAACTGCTACTTGACTTCGATACCGGATCTGCTGATACTTGGGTTCGTTGAAACATTTCTTATGCCAGGTCTCTTTAAGTCTAACCTTCGCATTAGGTTCGTTCGACTCTTCAGCACAAGTCTGACCTAGCTAAACACAACGCCTTCGACCCCAAGAAGTCCGAGTCCTTCAAGAAACTCTCTGGAAAGAGTTGGAAGATCCAGTACGGAGATGGCTCAACGGCTTCCGGTGACTGCGGCAGCGACACACTCGTCATCGGTGGCCTAGCCATCAAGAACCAGACGATCGAGTGTGCCACTAAGCTATCCAAACAGTTCTCCCAGGGCAGTAGCGACGGTCTCCTTGGTCTCGCCTGGAGCAAGATCAACACGGTCACAGACTCCGGTGAGGCTGACCCCCAAGCCACTCCCGTTGAGAACATGATCAAGCAGGACGATATCCCCAAGGAATCCAAGCTCTTCACGACCGCCTTCTATAGTTCACGTGATAAAGATCCCGACTCGTTTTACACATTCGGATTCATCGACGAAGATCTTGTCAAAAAGACCGGCCACGATATCCACTGGACGGAAGTCGACAACTCCGAAGGGTTCTGGTCCGTCTCGTCCGAGTCCTATACTATCAACGGCGAGAGCGTCGACCTCAGCGGCAACACTGCCATCGCTGATACCGGCACCACGTTGGCACTAGTATCAGACGAAGTCGCCAAGAAGATCTATGATCAGATCCCCGGTGCGACTTACGACTGGCTCAACCAAGGTTACATCTTCCCGATCGATGTGAAGGCGGACGACATACCCGAGGTCAAGGTGGCCATTGGCGATGAAGAATATCTAATCCAGAAGGAGGACTTGGCTTTCGCTCTGACTGACGACAAGAAGTACTGGTACGGGGGTATTCAAAGCCGTGGCATGATGCCCTTTGATATCCTCGGCGATACATTCTTGAAGAGTGTCTACGCTGTGAGTATAGTCCTTCTCCCCCTCACCTTTTTTAACCCATCCCTTCTCTTCCTCTTTCACTTCTACGACCTCTAGCCAAAAAGTGTTGACTTATTACCAATAGGTCTGGGATCAAGGAAATCGGCGTCTTGGTCTAGTCCCCAAGATCGAAGAGGCGCAGAACCTCGAGCCGCCGCCTGATAGCGATGACGACGATGGCGGCGAGAAGAAATGGGTTACCAGCATCGATCCTGAAAAGGGGTTAGGTCTCGGACGAGATAGATTGTAGGCTGATTGAGGCAGAATAGAGGCCAAATTTCTACTGATGTCTTTGCTCTCTTTAACTTTGCTGCAGCTCATTGCTGACAGTGGCTTGCGAGTCCAATACTGGTAGACTGCAGATAATTCAAACTTGAAGAAAATGGAATTGTAACATTCTTACCCCTATTCATAATATACTACTGGTTTTTGGTAAACTTGACATTGATTTTTCAAGACTGCTGGACTACTTATTATACAACTATCTGCCATAACCATAGCTAGGATGGCTCAAGTACATTGGGTACATATCCTTGGTAGTTATTATAGTTCCAGCTCAACACCTTCGCCCTACCCCCCCAGAGCAGACAGCCATTTCCATCCATCACATTATAGAAATCAACGATTCAAGCGATCACATTACCATCCAAGAGACAACTCAAGCAGCAGAAAGGGTTGAATAATTTAGGTTTCCTACGTCCGCAACCGATTGCGCTACCTAGTCACATCTTTCGGCTCCCTCCCCGTAATCGTATCGTAGTGAACTAAGCATCGACAATGCGATCGTGATCCGCCTTGGCACCCCCTAACTACTACCGCCAGTCGTTCCTCTCCTCTCCTCTCCTCTCCCCTCCTTCTGCTCCTCCGCACCTATGGAGAAAGACTTTCCCACACGGCGACGAACGAACACATGATTGATCTTCCCAAGGCCCATCAACAACAGCTCAGCTCAGCTCAACTCGCTTTCGTTCATGCGATAGAAAAAAAGGAGTTAGCCAAAACCGAAAAAAAAGGCAGCAGTAGCAGTAGCAGTAGCAGTAGCAGTAGCAAAAGAGCAAATGTTCAAACGGCAAACGTAAGCAAAGCACGAAAACTCCACCGAACGCCTATGCGGTATGGGGCCCCTTTCCCAGAAGTTTGTTGGAAAACACAGTAAGAGCCAGAAGACGAAAACAAAATGGGGAGGCGGGCGGATAGGTAGGTTAGGTAGGTAGGTAGATAGATAGGTAGTTAGGTTAGGACGGGCGAGGAGAGAAATGCGACCACCGGCTCGCAAAACCAATTCTAGGGTAGGTTTAAGAAGACTAAGCTCTTGTGAAATCACTATAATACCGCTGAGATAGAAGGGTGATTGATGGAGTCTTGTATATTGCCGTGGTAATCCAAGGGGATGTGAAATAGGAACAGCCATAAGACGTATTAGCTAGACTAAGGCCCCCTGAGTGACCTACGCCGAAGCTAACCAATGCCGTTGACGTGCAAATTCGCACGGCCAAGTATCCCGCATTCCACAGCTAGATGATCGAAGCAATGCTATTGAAGCTACGTGGAAACAGCTCACTGCTGGTAGTAGACAACACCAGGTCCCGGTGGAGGGTAGTAGTAGCCATCCGGGCTCGGGGTAACCATACCGTTCATGCCTACAACTCCACCGGGCATTGGATAGCCCTGCGGCGTTGGGTAGGGGTTGTATGTAGCCATAGGGGGTAACTGAGATGCATCGTAGTAGTAGACCATGCCATTGACTTCCTGAGCAACCAAATTGGAGTTTGGTGTATTCTGCCCAGTTGGCTGACTAGTAGCGGGCTCGCCTTGGGGTTGAGGTTGTTGCGCTCCCGGGACGAATGCGGGTGCAGTGGCAGATGGAGCTAATGCACCTGGATAAGTAGCTTGGGGGTAGTAATAGCCTTGTTGAGGCTGCATCATCTGGTATGGCTGGTAGTAGCTCTGCTGGGCGAACTGGGTTGGCTGGAAAGGAGCAGCATGGATGGCGCGTTCGGGAATTTGGGAGAGCGGTGTGCCGGTCGAATGTTGAGACTGGTACGAGGGATGTCGGACGTGAGATTCTTGGCCCAGGCTAGTCGACACCTGAACAGGAACTTGTTGGTGGAAGGCCTGTTGATATGGTTGAGACGGATTGTGCTGCATTTCTGGCGACTCGATGCCGGCTACCGAGACAGTCTTCTGCGGCCGAGGCTGGTGCATAGGGATGGGTACAGGTCGATTCTCCTGGAACACCGGCCTTTGGGGTTGCGTTTGTTGCATTGAACCATCGTTCATAGCGGGCTGACCAACTCCAGCGATCCCTTCTGCTGGTGCACCATCAACAGCGGGAAGCTGTTGTTCAAGTCGACCTTGTGGAGGAAGCCTGACAACAGGCCGAGCAGCGTCGTAGGGTAATGGCGGCCGCGACATAGTAGAACCGGTCGGAGATACCAGATAGTCTCTCCCCAAATCAGGGGCAATCGAAGACCGCCGGCTAAGAGCGATGCTCGGAGTATACGCACTACCAGCGTACACACTCCCCCCAAATACGCTCGTCCTCCTAGAAAACCCGCCAATAGATCCAAGACCAGACCTTGGCTTGCCCCGCAATCGTTGGTTCGGACGCATCGCTCGGGGTATAAAGATGAAAGACCTGTCGGTGGCTGGAAAGATATATCGGGGAGGGAAATCAGGTAGGGAGATACGGACAGGCTTGTCGCGTCTCAACGGTGGTCGGTGGTCTGGTAATTTCGTATACTGTCGTACTTGTATACCGGGGAAGATGACAGGCTCCTTTATTCCTGGGAAGTAGACCCTGATCTGTACATTGCCAACATGCTTATCTGTAGCCATGGTCCGGTTGATCGGTGTAGTGCTGGCAGGGCAAGTAGGAATATAGCCATCGCCGTTCGGTGGGCCATCGTCAGTAAACGAGGGCCGCGGTTGTCGGGCGTGTATAGGCTG